AAAGGTCTTCCTTTGCCATTGGTTCACCCTCCAATGGCCACCGCGGCCGGTGCGCTGCAGCCAGCGCATCACGCTGACCTGAAGGCAGGAGCCAGGTGCTTCTCCTGGTCTCCAAATGTGGGTGCAGGACCCAAGCACTTGGGCCATCCTCCACTGCACTCCTTGGCCACAGCAGAGAGCTGGCCTGGAAGAGGGGCAACTGGGACAGAATTGGGCGTCCCGACCGAGACTAGAACCTAGTGTGCAGGTGCTGCAAGGCGGAGGATTAGCCTAGTGAGCTGCGGCACCGGCCCTGATTACTTCTAAGTAATCCTACAATCAATTTATTTAAATTCTATCTCTGGCATTTCTTCAATCTTTTTTAAATTGTTTCTGGCATTTCTTCAGTCTCTTCATTTTCACAGTCTAGCACTGAAGTGTTGTTGTGTTCCTCTGGAGGCATTACGTTGTCTTCCTTATTCTTGTTTCTTGAGTTGCTGTGTTTTTTGGGGGGCACTTGTGGAGACACTTGCTGGTTACCCCCACCCCCGGATGGCTTTCATCTTCAGATTATTCCTCTGTAGATTAGTGGAGTGTCTGCCCTTCCAGTGAATACCCTGAGGTGCGTGCTGGGTGTGGCCAGGGAACTCTGTTCAGTGCTTTAGGTTGAGGAGAATGTCCAAGTTGACTCCCAAATTGCGCATGCTGATTTTTTTTTTTTTTTTTAATCACGGGGGAGGATTAATCTGCTCTGTTGGCATAGTCTCATGCTCACCTCCTCTCCTCCAAGGAGTCCAATGCCTGGTCACTAGCCCCATTCACACTGCCACAAGAACCAAAGGATCTGTGCAGTCCTCAGTGTGAGTATGCATCTCACAGCAATGCCCAGGGAATCAGGGAGCCCCAAGCTTGTGTGGAGCCACCCACAGTGACTATCCAAAGACCTGGCAACACCCTGCACCCTAAAACACAGCCAGTGTTTTCAGTCTCAGCACATAAGGCTCCTCCAGTTTGAGCACCTAGCCCTGTCAACTCTCCCAGATTCAAGTGTCTCTGCTTGGCTGCTTGCTCAGCCCACAGACACAAGTTTACACAGCTGTTACACATGTTCAAAATGGCACCTCCTCTCCCTCTGCTAGTTATACTGCACCACTTGGGGAGAGAGAAATGTGTCCCCCCCACCCCCCACTTTTCCCTCTACATTGGCAAGTACACTATTCCCCCGTGGAGCTCCAAGCCATACTCACCCCAGACTCTTCCCACAGCTGTTAGCACCAGTGGCTTGGACTGCTGCAGTCTGATCTCACCTCACTCTCCAAAGCTGGTGCTGAGGCTCTCGGCTGCTGGGTCCTGAGCTGTGCATGTCCCCACCTTCCACATAGATCCACTGTGTCTCTCTAATCTGCGTGGAGTTTCCTCTGCCATTTTCTCTCTAACTCTTCCCTGAGATTGGACTCTGTACTTTTTCTATTTTCCCCTAGACTAGAGCAGTGAGTGACTTCCCTATTCTACCATCTTGGTTTCTCTGTCATCAAACTCTTTTATTCGACATATTTTCCTCTAATCTGAACTGTAACCTCTGAATGTCAAGGTTATAAAATGCCTTAGTTGATTAAAATCAAAATATAACCAATGTAATAGACTGTGGTAGTTATCAATTTTATTGATAATATCTTCAAATGTAGCTGAACTTAAAATACAAAGGTATTTCCAAAAGTTTATTGAAAACAGAATAAGTTTTGTGTGAAAATATTTAAAATCCATGTGTATAAGTAATCTTCAAAAAGTTCGTGGAGATGTGTATTATGAATAAAAATCACAAGAATTCCAAAACTTTTTGAAGTAGCCTTACAATGGAATTTGTTCCATGTAGAGTTAAGGTTTCACTTTACAGTAGAAACATTTCCAGTTTTTGGAAAGGGCATTCAGTCTTGTCTCCCTGTTCCAAGTGCCTACAAGCTTCTAGTGTTGTGATAATATGGAACCCTAAACATGGTGCAGAGTTTTAGTGTTGTAAAAAGGCATGCTAAACTACTTTTATAAGCAATGTGTGACTTCAACTTTACAAAATGAGTCCAGAATTTTCTCAGCATCTTTGCCAATCCTCAGCATTGTTACCTAGTTCTACTGATTTGCATTTCCCTGACCACAGGGGAGCTAAAACACTTTTGTGTTCCCTTTTGTTCTCATTCACATATTGCTCTTTTTTCCTCTCCTTAATTAGTCCATCATACCTCCTGGACACTTCCTTTGTCAGTTCTAGTGGATATATTCTAAGTTCTTTGCAAGTCCATTGCTTGCCTTTTAATATTTAGTGTTTTTATTTGCACTTAAGTTTCTAAATTTAATACTCAGATGATCAGTATTTTTCTTTATGGTTCATACTTTGTGTCACACTCAACAATTCCTTCTTACATTGGATCAGTTTTCCTGTATTCTAAAATAGTTTGAGATTCTCATTCCTGATTTATGCCTCTAATCCACAAATTTCTTTTTGTGTATGGTGTGAGAAAAGGGATGTATTCACTTTTTCTTCTATATGGATACACAATTACATTAGTGTATTTGTTAAATTTGTTTCTCTACTCTGTCATTTATCAAGTTCTCACATTTATTTCTGTATTACAGATTTGTGTCTAGCCTCACACCAGTACAGCTTTTTCATTATTGTAGTTTTAGAAGTTCAACGCTTTTGTATAATAGGTTCCCCCTCACCTATTCTTCCTTAAAAAAAAATTGTCATAGCCATTATTCCACATTAATTTATTAAATTCCATAAAAATTTCTGTTGAGAATTTGACTGGGATTTCAATAAATTTACATTATTTGGGGATAACTGATGCTTTAGTATATTGATTCTTCTGGACCTCAAATGTAGAATATTCTTTGGTTTCCTTTTAACAATTTTTGCATTTTTGTTGGATGCATTAATTCCCTTATGATCTTATTGTGAATAAAACTTTTTAAATATTAGAGTTACAAACAGAATGAAAGAAAAAGAAAACTCTGATTCTTGCATGTTGGTCTTATATTAAAAATCCATCAACCCTCAAATTAATTTTGCCAGAGCTGGGAATCAAACCTAGGCACTCTGGTATGGGAGACAGGTGTCTTAATCACTAGGCTAAAATGCCCACTCACAGATTTTTTTTTTAACTTTTATTTAATGAAAATAAATTTCCAAAGTACAGCTTATGGATTACAATGGCTTCCCCCCCACCAGTAACTTCCCTCCCACCCCCAACTCTCCCCTTTCCCACTCCCTCTCCCCTTCCATTCACATCAAGATTCATTTTCAATTCTCTTTATAAACAGATCAGTTTAGCATATATTAAGTAAAGATTTCAACAGTTTGCACTCACATAGAAACACAAAGTGAAAAATATTGAGTACTAGTTATAGCATTAAATCACCATGTATAGCACATTAAGGAGAGATCCTACATGAGGAGTAAGTGCACAGTGACTCCTGTTGTTGACTTAACAAATTGACGCTCTTGTTTATGGCATCAGTAATCACCCTAGGCTCTTGTCATGAGTTTCCAAGGCTATGAAGCCTTTTGAGTTCACCGACTGATATTTAAAGCAGGTTGTAGCCAGAGTGGAAGTTCTCTCTTCCCTTCAGAGAAAGGTACCTCCTTCTTTGATGACCTGTTCTTTCCACTGGGATCTCACTCGCAGAGATCTTTCATTTAGTTTTGTTTGTTTGTTTTGCCAGAGTGTCTTGGCTTTCCATGCCTGAAATACTCTCATGGGCTTTTCAGCCGGATCCGCATGCCTTAAGGTCTGATTCTGAGGCCAGAGTGCTGTTTAGGACATCTGCCATTCTATGAGTCTGCACTCCCAGATTTTTAAAAGCAGGCTCAGATTTGATAAAATACAGTTGGCAATACACATTTAAAAAATATTATCCCATGCTTGCTTGCTTGAGCAGTACATACTTAAAAAAAAAAAAAACACCAAATAGCAATACCCTGAAACTTCAAATGTATGCACATTACTTCATAATAGTAATATAAGAAAATCTTAGTTATATCCTAAATTAGGGTTCCCCACAGAGACAGAACCAATAGGATATATATATATATATCTCCACCCCTCCCAATATGATTTGGGTGGATTAATTTTATTGCTATTAGTAGTCTGTATTTCCAGTAAGGCTTCTTACCTTCAATACCCTTGACTGGCAATACTGTAGTCAGTTTTTTTTTTAATTTAAATATTTATTTATTTATTATTTGAAAAGGGAGAGTTACAGAGAGGCAGAGGGAGAGAAAGGGAGGGAGGGGGAGAGAGAGGTCTTCTATCCGATGGTTCACTCCCCAGATGGCCACCACAGTTGGAGCTGCGCCTATCTGAAGCCAGGAGCTTCTTCCGGGTCTCCCACGTGGGTGCAGGAGCCCAAGGACTTGTGCCATCTTCCACTGCATTCCCAGCCACAGCAGAGAGCTGGTAAGAAGTGGAGCGGCCAGGACTTGAACCAGCAACTGTATAGGAGGTCGGCACTGCACGTGGTGGCTTTATCTGCTACGCCACAACAATGGCTCCTAATAGTCAGTTCTCACTCAGTTATTGCTTGCTTAATGTAACTTTTGCCATGAACTTACTTTCAACCTGTGTGTGCTTATATTTAAGTATCTTGTAAGAAGCGTGCAGTATTTTAATTTTCAGCCCGGTAATTTTTCAACTTCAATTCAAGTAATGAATTACTCACAATTAATGTGTTTGGGTTTATGTTTTGCAACTGTAAATCTGACCCAATTCATATGCTTTCTTTATTCTTGCCTTCTTTTAATACTTGTGCCTCTATTGTTAAGTACAAATTCTATTATTATTCTTTTGGTGCTTCACTTAAAGAATATGTACCCTTGACTTTATAGTCTAATAAAAGTATTAACTTTACCACTTATATAAACTCCATTTACCTTCCCTTCCTGACTTGTTATTGTATGGTATATTTTAATTCCACAGATATTTTAAACCAGAATTTAATAGTATTGATTCATTAAATTACATATTTACCATTTGCATTAATCATTTATTCCTGATTTCTCCTTTCAACATCCTTCCGTGGATGCCTTCTAGAGACAAAGTCTCACGTTCCCCTCAAGTTCTCATCATCACATCTGCAGAGTCTCTCTTGGTCCTTGCCCCTTACCTGAAGTGTGAGCACTGTGGTAGTCACAAGGTAAAGATAATGAAACATACAGAGCCAAAAAGTCTAGAATCCAACTAACCTTGTACTGTCTGCACTGGACACCCTCCATCTGACAGAAAAATACAATCTTAACAGCTTAAGCACTGTTACTTTGGTTCTCTTTCTGGAGGCAAATGTCATTTTTGATATGGCTTTAATCAATTCTATAAACTTCATCACTTCCAACAAAGATATTTGTTAGTTTATATTTAAAACATTCCAGCATGCTATGTAAATTATATAAAATCCTTACTTACATCCTGCTAGTATTCTTAGCAACAAAGAACAGTCCAATGTTCTAATCACAGAACCTATATTCCTGTGTAAATAATTCCAGGCGCTGTTTTCTATATCCTCAATCAATATAGTGTTTAACTTACATTTTAAATGTCAGAAACTTTTATGGTAACACTAATGTTTTGTTAACTAGAATTATAAATGTCAACAATCGGTCTCCAACAGTGAAAGTGAAGGTTTTCAGGTTGGCCATTAGCAATGCTCCTCATCCTTGCAGGAACAGGCCAGTGAACCAGCTGGGCCTGTACTTTTCACCCTTCAGCATGGGGGACTAATGGTTCTTGTCCAGCCATGAGCACAGGCTTTGTTATGAGTAACAGAATACTGCTTTTTGGAGTAAGCTTTCAGGCGAGGTGGCACCTCACTGAGGACAGCAACTTTGCTGAGCTTGCAGAACATGCTCTATGGCTAATAATGCAACCCATCACCCTGCCCCAGCCTTCAATGAGTACCCTTGTCCACCAAGAGTTGCACGTGAGTAATCACCTTAGGTAGTTCCTAATTGCCTTGTCCCTTCTATTCTTTCCTTAAACTCCTAAGCTATACATGCACATTACATCATCCACGTACTTACTTTCATTTTGCCACTTTTAGTTGTTCTCTAACTTATTCCTCTGTTTTAAGAAATTTTCTTCAAATGTGTCTGATATTTATACCAGTCAATTCCTTTCCCCAATAACATTACCTTAGAAGCCTCAGAGACACTTTTATCTTGTGGTTTCATTAAAGCAAACACTTAACCTGACACACTACACAGATGTGAAACATCATGAGTACTCTGACAGTAAAACTGAATTTCAACTGTTTCCCAGGGAAATCTTCCTTTCTAGCTCAAAGTCTTGGGTTCAGTTTTGTTGTTTCCCTGGACTGTTGGGTAGAATTCTGCTTACCCCCTTTCCTGAGACTGCAGCACCTTCTGGGGTCTTAGTTTTGTGTAGGCCTCAGTCCCCTGCCCCTCCCTGTATTGTCAGGATACATCTCTTGCTCTAAAAAATCCCACAGACCACCTGGCTTATAGCCAAGGTGACCATTTCCTTGGGCAGTGCAATTTTAGCTCCTCAGGTGACTACTGTACCACTGTTTTCTCATTTCTGGCAGCTAGAATTGCCTCTTTTCTTTTGTAGTCAATAGCATGTGTGTGTGTGTGTAGTCAATAGCATGTGTGTGTGTGTATTTTTTTTTCTGTTTTCTCTGTCATCTCTGAATCTGGACCTATGGTACGGTGATGGTAGGATGACTTAGTACAGTCCACCATGTCAGCAAGATTCCTGAAAACGAGCTCATCTCCAGACATGTTATCTACACTTGGTGTTCTTCAGCCTTACAGCCTTCCTAAATCCTCTGAGATTTAGGAAAAGTGGCAACTTAAATGCCTGAAAAGGTCTACTTGTTAAGAGTCAGAACAATGATCCAAACCAAACTTCTTGTTCATAGTGACAATGTGCCCAGCAAGATAACTACAAAGGGACTTTAAATTTGTGGAGGGGGCCGGCGCCGTAGCTCACTTGGTTAATCCTCTGCCTGCGGTGCCGGATTCTAATCCCAGCTGCTCCTCTTCCAGTCCAGCTCTCTGCTGTGGCCCAGGAAGGCAGTGGAGGATGGCCCAAGTGCTTGGGCCCCTGTACCTACATGGGAGACCAGGAGGAAGCACCTGGCTCCTGGCTTCGGATCGGCGTAGTTCCAGCGGCAGCAGCCATTTGGGGAGATCTTTCAACAACGTAAGATCTTTCTGTCTCTCTCTCAATGTCTAACTATCTGTCAAATAAAAAAAAAATTTGTGGAAAAAAGGAATTAAAAATTTATTTAGGGGCAAAACCCTTCTGAAATCCATGCATTTTTTTAAACCCAAAAACATTTCCATGAACCTTTTGAAGACCCCCATGATTAGGAACCATTCATAAAATACAGTTGTGGCAAATAAGCCACAAGCTGGGAGTTTCCTGACAGGGGCAACATGGCCTCTGACTTCTCCTGCCATCTATTTTAAGGATGTAATGGTGGCAATGCCCCAAAGCCAACTTGGGAACTCTATAAGAGCCCCCATCTTTTTAAAGCTACTGTTGTGGGGCTTTCTGCTACTTACACTGCAGCTTAATTCAGTCATTACATGAGACATTTTAAAAAAGTAAATCAAATGAGGAAAACATCAAACAATGCTGGAAGAAAATATTTATCAAAAAGACAAAGTCCAATAAGAACAGGGAGGGGAGAAATTAGAAGTTATGAGGATTTTCAGAGGCTGCTTTAAAATACGGTAATTGGGAAATGACCTGGCCCAAACCCTCATAGGAAATGAAGGCTCATATGTTATAACCACTAAATAAATTAAGCAGCAGCTAATGGGCCAAATGCTGTGGGACAGCGGGTTAAGTCATGGCCTGTAATGCTGGCATCCCATATGGGTTCCAGTTTGAGTCCTGGCTGTACCACTTCCACTCCAGCTCCCTGCTAATGGCCTGAGAAAGTAGCAGAATGGCTCAAGTTCTTGGAAGATCTCTGTCTCTTCCTTTCTTTCCATAACTTTTTCAAATAAATAAATCAATCTTAAAAAAAAAAAAAGGCAACATTTGAACTGGGTTTTGAAGAATGGGATATTTCCTGAGTGTTTGATACATGCCAGGTAATGCCTATGCTGACTTGTCTGGATTATCTAATCAAATCCTGATAAGATTTAAGAGATAAACCAAACCCATTTTACAAATGAATCTAGATGCTTTAACCTAGAACTCACGCTACTAAATACTGTGCTCTACTGACATACACCAATAATAAAACAAATAACTGGGTGGAATCACAGAGGAAAAAGAACTTAAATGACTATGACACTTTCATTTACATATAAGGATATGAGGTCATACTGCTTAACGCATTAGCAAAAGGTCATTAAAAAAACAGCGTTCTCATTTGTTCTATCAAGGGGCCTATTGCATGTACACTTTTGTCCTGAAAATGTTACTGTCTTTGTGTCTTTAACTCCTTCAAATAGTCCATTAGCACTGAGAGCTATCTCAAATCACATGCCAACTCACCACAGGATGAAGTCATTAAGTGACTGCAGCATAAGGAAATATGATTTAATTTGCTTAGGTGATATTTAAAACAAGATATTCACCATAAATATCAGTGTTTTAGAAGCAATGGCATGAAAAGATTGAGAAACAAAACAGTTTGTCAACTTCTATGAACACTGGTTTTTACCTACTCAACCTGTTACAAATAGAAATAAATACGAAGGATTAATTCAAATCTCAGTGTGTCCAACACAGTTTTAGAAGACTTCTCTAATATAACCTGTTCTGGTCTGCCCAGAGCACTAACTCTAACTTCTATCTTGCTATCTACCTTTGTTGCTGTTACAACACTCCTGCATGGCCTGGCCCATACTAAAGTTTTTAGGCACTCTGGTTCATCTTTTCTTTTCTTTTCTGAAAGCTTTTATTTAATAAATATAAATTTCAAAGACACAGCTTTTGGAATATAGCGGTTGTTCCCCCCATATCTGCCCTCCCACCCCCAAATCGTCCCACCTCCTACTCCCTCTCCCATTCTATTCATTAAAATTCGTTTTTACTTATTTTTATATACAGATCAACTCTATACTAAGTAAAGATTTTAACAGTTTGAACCCACACAGACACACAAAGTATAAAGTACTGCTCGAAGACATGTTTCACTGTTGATTCTCAGAGTACAACACATTAAGAACAGAGGTCCTGTATGTGGAGCAAGTGCACAGTAACTCCTGTTGTTGATTTAACAATTTCATTCTTATATATGATGTCAGTGATCACCCCAGGCTCTTGACATGAGCTACCAAGACTATGGAAGCCCTTTGAGTCCACAAACTGTCAATATTTAGACAGGGTCATAGCCAAACTCTCCTCCCTTCAGAGAAAAGTACATCCTTCTTTGTGGCCCCTTCTTTCCACTGGGGTCTCACTCACAGAGATCCTTCATGTAGATCATTTTTTACCACAGTATCTTGGCTTTCCATACCTAAATGCTCTCATGAGCTTTTCAGTCAGATCCATATGCCTCAAGGGCTGATTCTGAGGTCAGAGTGCTATCACCTTTTCTGATGTTAGTCCTTGGAGATCTTTTACCTGCTTTGACTGAGACTTGCTTAATTACTGTTTCATACAAACCAAACAATACATACTATTTATCTTTTTTTGTTCAGTTTGAAGCTAAAGATGTGAACACTTCTGTGAAAAAGAAATTTAACTTCCTTAGGGGAAAAAAAAATGTACTATAGATACATTCAGTTTAAAAGGAATACTTTACCATAAAGATTCAAGGTAGATGACTTTTTTTTTTTTTTAATGAACAGACTGGCATGTGTTTATATATATATATTTGTAAGATTTATTTATTTGAGAGGTAGAATTACAGAGAGAAAAACAGAGAAAGATAAAGGTCTTCCATCCACTCATCCACTGGTTCACCCCCCAGATGGCTGCAACGGCTGGAGCTGGGCCGATCTGAAGCTAGGAGGCAGGAGCTTATTCTGGGTCTTCCACACAGGTACAGGGTTCCAAGCACTTGAACCATCTTCCACAACTTTCCCAGGCCATAAGCAGAGACCTGGATCAGAAGAGCAGCCAGGACAGTAATCAGCACCCATATGGGATGCTGGTACTGCAGGCAGAGGCTTAGCCCACTATGCCAAAGCATCGGCTCCAAGGTGGATGACTTTTTTTTTTAAAGATTTATTTGAAAGACAGTTACAGAGAAGCAGAAAAAGAGAGAGAGAGAGAGATCTTCTATCTGCTGGTTCACTTCCCAAATGGCCGCAATGGCTGAAGCCAGGCCAATCTGAAGCCAGGAGCCCAAGGCTTCTTCCAGGTCTCCCATGTGGGTCCAGGGTTTCAAGCACTTGTGCCATCTTCCACTGCTTTCCCAGGCCATAGCATAGACCTGGGTCGCAAGTGCAACAGTCAGGACACAAACTGGTACCCATACGGGATGCTGGCACTGCAGGCTACAGCTTTACCCACTATGCCACAGTACTGGCCCCAGGTAGATGACTTTTAAGATTGACTAGGATACACATTTTATGATTTGGGGGACATTAAGGGAGCTCCTATGATCTTGAGAGCAAAAAATGTAGCACTTACCAAACACTTTTGTTACCAGCACTGTGCAGGGTCCTTCACATAGCTCTCCTATCTAATTTTCATAACAACCTGACACAATTACTTTTTTCTTTACCAGAGAACTATTCAGGGAAACTAACAACTTATTCAAGGTTGCACAAATGGCAAGTGATGGAGCCCAAATTAGATTGGAGCTCTATGTAATTCTCAAGAGTATGTTTGTGACACTGTGAAATATATATTTAGTCTTCAATTGTTTCCTGACATAAGCTTCTAAAACACTTGGAATCTCTGGAGTGACAAGTTGTCTTTCTTGTATGATGATCAGATGGCCTGGGGCTGGGGGCACCTAGATAGCTTCAGGATGGAAGCTATTTACCAGAAAGACCAAGGCATTGTTAAAGTTGGGACTTTTGGCCCCACTCCCCAAATTGGGAAGGGGAGGGGACAGAAGAGGTCCTAGGTTGAGGTAATCACCAATGGCCAATGAACTAATCAATCCTCCTTGTATAATGAAGCCGCCATAAAAACCCAAAAAGGTTCGGATGAACTTTCAGATAGCTTGAACATACAGAGGCACCCTGCCGGGGCAGGTGGGGTGCATACTTGGAGAGGCCATGGAAGCTCTATGCCCCTTCCCTATGTATCTCTTCCATCTGTCTGTCAATCTGAATTATTTTGACATCCTTTATGATAAATGCATAAAATGTAAGTAAAGTCATTTCATGAATTATGAAAGCTGCTCTAGGAAACTACCCACACCTGAGGAGGGATTATGGGAACCCTGACTTACAGCTGGTAGGTTAGAAGCATGGGCCACAACCTGTATCTGTCAGTGGATCACAGTCTATCTCCAGCATAAGCAGTATCAGAATCATACTGAATTAGAGGACAGGCTGGTGCCCACTGGAATAATTGTAGAAAGGATTGCTTGACTACTGGTGAGGATATATCCCCCACACATTTTGGTGACAGAGATGTGTTAAGTGGTGTGTGAGTAGAAAAAGGATCTTTACACCCTTTATCTCTAATAATGTTCTTACCATTGCACCGTCTCCTAAGGAAGCACTGACAGTGAGAAAGGATCTCATTTTTATTTTAAAAAGTTTTTCTTACACACACACACACAGAGAGAGAGAGAGAGAGAGAGAGAGAGAGAGAGAGAGAAAACAGGCAAGTACATATCCATCTGCTGGGTCACTTAAATGTCCACAACAGCTGGGTTTGAGCTAACCTGAAGCCTGGAGCTCCTAACTCATCCCAGGGATAGCAGAGACTCAAAGCCTTCAGCCATTATTTCCTGCCTTCCAGGGTGTGCTTTATCAAGAAGCTGCACCAGAAGCAGAGCTAGGACTCAAACCTGGGCACTCTCATATAGGATGCTGCATTCCAAGTGACACCTTCAATCACTGTGCCAAACTCTCATTGGGACCTCTGGGACCAGCATCATGGCACAGAGGGTTAAGCCACTGCTTGCAATGTCAGCATCCCATGTCTGAGACCAACAATTGCCTAGTCCCCAAACTCCTTCTCATTCAAACTTATATCTTATCTTGAAAGTAACTCAGTATTTGGTTAACATTAACTGTGCTATAGACTATACACAGGTGATCATTTTAAGCAAGATATTATTAAATATAAATATAATACCTAAAACAAAAATTTTCACAGATAACCTGTTGAGGGAGCAAACTTCTTATAACAGTGTATAAATGATGGGGCTATCTAAAGGCAGTTGTGTACCTTTAGGTACCTTGTACATTTTCCAACCAAGGAAACCTTATGAAAATCCTCCCCCTGCCCCTTGGTGCATTTGAGCTCATAAAATTTGCATGGAGAACAAGTGACTAAAGCAGTTTCTCAAATTACTTTTAAAAAAACAAAGCAGCCCAAATTCTGCTATTAAATAATTTTTGACAGAAGGACAATTACTGAACATAACTTAATAATCTTTAAAGAACTATTTTGAAGCAAGCAATGAAAAGGTCAGAACTTTTAAACCAGTTATAATTGTACATGGATAGTTTCAAGACAGTAGCTGAACAGGTTCTTTTTCTAAGACCTTAGTTCATGGAACAGTGTTACTTAGCCTAACAGGAATACTGTGTACTAAACTGTGAAAAATACCCAGGGGTAAAAGTCTTTTCTATAAAATTAAATAATCTTCACTTATACGTATATAGAAATCCTAAATGTGAAATACCATTGCTTTCAATAATATACTGGTAGCTCAAATTAAAAAGTTTAAAACTGGGGCCGGTGCTGTGGTATAGCGGGTAAAGCCACCGCCGCCTGCAGTGCTGGCATCCCACATGGGCGCAGTTAGACTCAGCTGCTCCACTTCCGTTCCAGCTCTCTGCTATGGCCTGGGAGAGCAGTAGAAGATGGCCCAAGTCCTTGGGCCCCTGCACCCACATGGGAGACCCGGAAGAAGCTCCTGGCTCCTGGCTCCGGATTAGCCCAGCTCCACTCACTGCAGCCATCTGGGGGAGTGAACCAGCAGATGGAAGACTCTCTCTCTCTCTCTTTGCCTCTGCCTCTGCCTCTCTCTCTGTAACCCTGCCTTTAAAGTAAATAAATCTTAAAAAAAAAAAAAAAAGCTTAAAACTAAAAACTTTAAAAAAAATGTTTATTTTCATCTACTTGAAAGGGACAAAGAACAAGCCAGTGAGAGAAAACTTTTCCATCTACTCACTAAGTGCTCACAGCTACTATGGCTGGGTCACGCTGAAGCCAGGGGCTAGATCTCCAACATAGATGATGGGGTAGAAGCATTTGAGCCATCATCTGCTCTCTCCCAGGATGCATTACCAGGAAGCTGGACAGGAAGCAGAGTAGCCAGGACTCAAACAGGCAGTCTTATGTGGGTTGTAGATGTCACAAGCAGAAGTTTAAATGCCTGCACCACAACACCTGTCCCACCTTTTAATTTGACCCAGAATTTAAAAATAAGAATATTTCTAGTTAAAAACAAAACTTTCAATATTAAGCCATTACAATAGAAATAGGTTACATGGCTGTTTATTATAATTTTGCATAATATTTTCCACTACATAATGCTTTGACATTTATCTATAAAAATCATTCTACAAACTGAAATAAATATAACTAAAAGGTAAACTCCATTATAGGGACTAGCGCTGTGGCATCATGGGCTAAGCCTTTGCCTGTAGCACTGGCATTTCAAATGGGTGCTGATTCGAGACCCAGCTGCTCCACTTCCTATCCAGCTCTCTGCTGTGGCCTGGGAAAGCAGTGGAATATGGCCTAAGTGCTTGGGCCCCTGCACCCACGCTGGAGATCCAGAGGAGGCTCCTGGCTTCAGATTTGCCCAGCTCTGGCCATTGCAGCCATTTGGGGAGTGAACCAGCAGATGGAAGACCTCTCTGTTTCTTCCTCTCTCAGTCTGTGGCTCTACTTCTCATCTAAATAAAAATCATTAAAAAAAAAAAAACCCTCCATTATATATCATAGATTCCCTCAATTTAACTGACATTTTTCATTCATTAAGGTCTAAAGGAGACATTCAGCACCACAAAATTCTCCTACTGAGAACAGATAAGGTGAGAAAAATAAAAAGAAATGTGAAAGACTGAATAATTTATGCCAAATTCTCAGCAAATAATGTGAGAAAATATATCAAATCTCCAAACCTAATAGAAAAATAGTTTAATTTTAAAATATACCAAAAAGTTAATGGAGAAATCCAACTTTGTATTATGTTCACCATCAATACAATTAAATAACAAATGGTAAAATATTAAACAAAAGGGAAAAATGGAGACATTTTAATATTTATTCAATTCTGTGAAATTTAAAGCTAATAAGCACATGTTCATCAAAAAAACTACATTTCTAATAAATACAGATTTTAAAAAATTCAAGTATATATATTTTTTGTAAGGCTGGAAAGCAGGTCACTTGAATGTTTCATTGTATTAGTTCAAATAAGAGAAATACTAGAATTTTCATTTAAATCTAGTTTCATATACACTGACTGATCAAAGACCCTGTTAAATAATGACAGTGTATAACACACAGATATAAATAAATAAATATGTAACTACTAACCAAGAGATAAAAGAGCAATGAATCAAACACTAAAATTAGCTTAACTCTCAGATCTTCTGGTAGCCTAAACCACAAGTATATGCAAATAATTTGTTATATTTCACAGTATGAAGGAAAAATTTTGTATTTTATGCACAGAGCTTCAAAGGTAAGTTGATGGGGAATTCCCAAATATGCTTAATTTGAAAAAGAGACTTCATAAAACTGCTTTAGAGTATACTCTTCCACAATACACTGCATCATTATTCTTGTACGACAATTTAAAATAATTTAAGCACGACAAGATTCATGACAAAGAAACGTGTAGAACTCAATGAAATGTGGTATGTTTAGCATCCATGTGTATAATAGAATAGCTCTTTCTCAATAAAGAAAATAATTAAAAACTGTTAGTCTATTGAACAAATAAAATTAGAAAACGGTACTCACCTCCAAAAACAAGTCTCCATGCCCATGCATTTTACTTGACATTTTTATTTAATTGTGAATTTTTCATGTGTAGACATCTTCCATGGAAGAACAATCAAATTCAAAAGTGAATTCTAATTTTGGATTTAGGCACACACAAGAAGAGTGAATAGACACTTGCCAACCTGCTGGAATATTTTGTACTTCTCACATAATTTTGGTTTTGTAGCTCTTATCTTGTGTTTTATTTCCAGAGAATACAGATGTATCACCAAAAAATGAAAATGCTGATTTCATGGAATTGAAAAACAAGAAAATTAATTTCAATTTGAAGTATTTTAAATAATGGCATGAATAGGAAAGTATCATTTACACCAAATACATATTTACTCTTTATTACTAAATTACAGTGATACCAAAGAGCCAAACCATTTTCATCAAACCAGCAAGTTGGTATCATCATCATTTAAAAACAAAACCAAACTTTGTTTACTTTAAGCTTTATAGTATCTTAAATAATATATACAGTAACACCTAAGATGTAGATATCAATAATTGCTAGCATTTACTTAGTACTTAATGTGACAGGTACTAATGAACCACTTCATAATTGCCACATAGGGCACCATGCCCATTTTGCAGATGAGAATACCACTAAGGTGTGAAACAGGGCCTTTCCCTTCTCCAAATTCCCTAGCAAACTCACTGGTGGAGTACAAATGGCAACAAATGCTGATGCAAAAGCCTATGCTTGTTAAAATACACTGCAATGTCTATAAATCTGACAAATATATAAATATCAAATAAGGACATTCTTTTGTTCCAATCAAAGGGTTTTGTTCTGTTAGAGATATGCTAGTAATTTAAATGTACATTAAGAAAAAAACAAGCCTCTGTATTTTTCTTGCCAAATCTCTTAGCAGTATTGGTTGGTATTCCAAGTCAGCTGACGTAAACATCCACCTCCCAGCCAATTCATGTATTACAGCTGAGTGTAGGATGTTTACATGAACTGAAACTTGGTTTAGAGTAGGACTTAGGGAATGCTTTATTATGTTTATACTGGTCCTTGACGCAAAACTTAAACTCATATTAGGGTACATATGACAAAAACTGATTTTTTTTCCTGAAAAGACAATGCTATAGAATCTTGAAAAAGGAACTGGCATAAAGATCCACATGAATGATGCAAAGGTCAATTCAAAAGCTATCTTGAGTGAGCATTTTGCACAATGGTTGAGATAGTGGTTATGACACCCAAATCGCATATCAGAATTCCTGGATTCAATGCATGGCTATGCTCCAGATTCAATTTCCTGCTAATGCATATCCTGGAAGGCAGTGATAATGGCTGAAGTAAATGGATCCTTACTACCCATATGGGAGACCTACATTGTTTTCTGGCTCTGAGGTTCAATCTGGCCCAGCCCAGACTATTGCACATATTTGGGGAATGAACCAGAGGATGGGAACTCTTTCTCTCTGCCTGTCCAATTATAAAAGGGTTATCTTGAGAAAAAGCAAAGAATTCAAGGAAAAAGCAGAAGAGACATTCTTTTTACTGAAGGAGTTTATGCAACAAAAGCAAATGCAGCTGATTTTTTTTAGAAAGCTTTTATTTAATGAATGCAAATTTCATAGGTAGAGCTTTAAGATTATAGCAATTCTAACTCACATACCCACCCTCCCTTCCCCCCCAACCCTCGCAGATGATTTTATACCCTTTTAAATTCCCACAGCCAGAGCCTGCACTTTGGCACAGTGTGTTAAGCCACCACCTGCAGTGCCAGCATCCTACTTGAGCTCTGGTTCAAGTCCAGACTGCTCTACTTCCAATTCAGCTTCCTGCTAATACACCTGGGAAATCAGAGGAAAGGCCCAAGTCTTTGGGCCTCTATCACCCATGTAGGAGGCCTGGAAGAAACTCCTGGCTCCTGACTTTGGCCAAACCCAGCCCAACATTGCAGTTATTCGGGGGAGGGAACAGGCAGATGGAAGATCTCTGTGTCTCCTTCTCTCTCTCTGCAACTCTGCTTTTGAAGTAAATAAACAAATCTTTAAAAAAAATTCCTATAGTCTTCAATTCAAAACAAGTTAACTTGCATTCATCTGATAGCCAGTGTGATGCATCAACCACCTGTTATGAAGACTGTTCCTATTTGGTGTAGAAGACAAAGCTAACAAAACACCTGTGAGCTCAGTCACCTCTCTTCCCACACATTCTTCTCCCCGCCCCTCCTGATTCCTTCCCCTCTCACTTATTAATAATCCAGATAATTTCAAATCCTGCCTATCTTTCTCATACTCTGACCTCTTTCCAACTTCTACTATTCCAAGTGTTAAGGTGTCTCAAAAAATCTCTCCCTACTTCTTGCATTCCTGATAAAAAAAAAAAAAGTTAACAAAAATACCTCTACTAAGCATTTCAAGTGGCCCTACTAAGATGCTTGCATCAAAGAGAGGAAATTCTCACATTGGTAAGCAGAATTAAATATAACCACTGCAAGCAAACTCTAAAAGTCCTTGGCATTTCAAGACCTTTGGGAACCTCCTATTTCTCTGGCTTCTTGTCTTCTCCTAAAGCTTTAATTCTTTTCTTGCATTAGTTCTTTAGATTAAACACATACACATTCCCACCCCCCCCTTGCAAGCATACTGTTTTTCTGTTTTAACTAATCCTGCCACAATAATATCTTCAATTCAGTTTCCAACTTGCATAACACTTAACAGGAAAAAGACTGTAAGATGAGCTCCATGGTTCTGAGAACAGAGATCTGGAGCAAGCAGCAGGAGCAGCAAACTTCTCAAGTTCCAAGCCAGAGCTACTGATTCAGAAGCTCTTCCTGCAGGGCTCAGTGTTTTAACGAATAAGCCCTGCAAATAATTCTGATGCATACTAGTGTCTGGAAACCCGCAGTCCATGTCACCAAATACGCTGAAAAGCAGTGAATGTCAAATTATTACGAGGTTTGTAATACACTACAGCAAGAAAAGCAAAGGTCAAAATATCACATTTTGACCCACAATTAACCAGGCTGGGGGAAACCTTGGCAGTGAGTAACCCAAACAAGACAATTTAAAGAATTAACCTTCAGATTGATATTCAAACTTCATACCAATATTCAAACAAAAATTCTGAGCACATACAGCAGGTAATAGCACATTTACAATGAAGCAAGTTATAACATGAAGAGCAAAAGGAAGTCATAATCAGAACATGCTACATGCCATGAGGAAAGCACGCTGGGATCTGAAGATTCATAATCTATTTCTGACTTGCCCCAAGTCTATGACTCTAAGTGGAAAGACTCAGGCAGTGAGACCAATGAGGGCTTGACCAACGATGTATTATTTCTATGACCATTTTCTAACCCAGAGTATTTGTACAAAGGCATCTAATTGGAAATGAATGTGGAGGAAATTTTGAGTTGCTAGTTTAACAAAGTAATCCCTAAACAATATCAAAGAATATACTGAGGAAAAAATACTGCTATTTGAAGAATGGTGCTAAGTAACTAAAAACCCTTTACCTTTAACGTTAATTGGATCAAAAATCTTCTTAAATAATAAAGAATGTCTGAGCTTTCTAACGCCTGTTAATAAAGACCATACACTTTTTCCTAAATACTAAGTTAAAGGCTCAGGAAACAAGTTGTTAAAGGTTTACTGGAAAATACTGCTGATTCAGTATTTTAAGGCATTTGCATTAAATAATCAATTGCTAACTGTGCAGGCCAATGGAAATTTTGTGGCGCTTTAAAATTAAAACATGAAAAACTTATCTGTATATATAACTAAAAAGTTGTATTTAAAAGTAGAGTGAGGGTCCAGCACGGTGGCATAGTGGTAAAGCCACCACCTGTAGTACTGGCATCCCATATGGGCACTGGTACAGGACTGGGCTGCTCCACTTCCGATCTAGCTCTCTGCTATGGCCTGGGAAAGCACTAGAAGATGGCCCAAGGCCTTGGGACCCTGCACCCATATGGGTGACTCAGAAGAAGCTCCTCGATCCTGGCTTCGGATTGGCACAGCTCTGGCCATTGCGGCCACCTGGGCAGTGAACCAGTGGATGGAAGCCTTCTCTCTCTGCCTCTCCTTCTCTCTGTGTAACTCTGACTTTCAAATAAATAAATAAATCTTTTTTTTTAGAAAACTTTTATTTAATAAATATAAATTCTGAAAGTACAACTTTTGGATTATAGAGGTTTCTTCCCCCCCATTACCAATTACCACCCTCCCACGTGCAAACCATCCCGTCTCCTACTCCCTCTCCCATCCCATTCTTCATTTAAAAAAAAAAAAAAAGTACAGTGAAACAAAGGTAGCTGGAATTAAAGCTGACATGCGTTTTGATGCAACTCATTAGGGCAGAGTAATACAGAACAAATGTTACATAACACAGATTGTGCCAGTAATCCTGCCGCATCTAGGGATAACAAGAGTAGCTGTCAGAATACAATAGCTTTACGCAGAGCACCTACCTCTTTTTTAGCTTAGATCTGATCTATCATTTTAAAAAATCTTTCAAATTCATCTGTGCAAATTATTAAATTATGCCATTTGTATCCATCTCACTGAATGTTAACGCTATATATGTCAAAGTTTTTCACAGGAAATAAGCAGGGCTCTATCCACTTACTGCTATTTGAAACATCAGCCTTCCAAGATGCTAAAACAGAGGGGCACAGAAAGGGATGCTTGAAGCATGCTGATCATTAAACCTGGGAATTATACTTACGAACTGCAAAGCTACTTTTGTCTGAAGCAATGAATCTTTTCCCACAAACAGTCTTGGACACCAGTACTTTAACAAGGGAACATTTACAAGCAAATGCTCTAGCACGGAAAGCTCTAGAGTAACTACATTAGGACCCAAAGTGTCACTTGTTCCCCTGGACGAAAGATAAAAGAGTACATATTGTTGCAATAAAATAATTATTAGAGTGCTATACATGCAAGTATTTTACTAGATGTTTATGGCAGGAAAACATAGAATTATAAAAAGATAATGCACCCATTCTCAGGAAGCTAGTGATCTAATCAGAGCAGACAAGCATATAAAAAGCAGGTAAAGTTAAATTTTTGGTTTTAATTATGTTTTGAACCTAACATTGTATTATGTTAAGTACTTTAATATTAATTATAGGGGCTAGCAAGGTGGTGCTTGGGTTCAACCACACTGCCTATAATAACAGCATCCCATATAGGTGCTGGCTTGAATCCTGGCAGCTCCACTTCTGATCCAGCTCCTTGTCAATGCACCTGGGAAACCAGCGGAAAGTCCAAGTGTTTGGGATTCTGCATCCATGTGGTAGACCCGGATGGAGTTCTGGGCTCCTGGCTTCAGCATGGCCCAGTCCTGACAATTGCAACCATTTGCACAGTTAACCAGAGAATGGAAAAGCTCTCTTTCTTTCTCTCTGTTATCTCCCTCTTGCTATAATTCTGCCTCTCAAATAATTAATCTTTTTTTCGGTAAGATTTGTTTATTTGAGAGGCAGGGTTACAGACAGAGAAAGAGGTCTTCCATCTGATGGTTCACTCCCCAAATGGCTCCAGAGCCAATATCTGAAACCAGGAGCCAGGAGCTTCTTCCAGGGAAGCCACGTGAGTACAGGGGCCCACGTACTTGGATCATCTCCCACTGCTTTCCCAGGAGCTGGATCAGAAGTGGAGTAGCTGGGACTCAAACCAGCGCCCATAAGGGATGCTGGTGCTGCAGGTGGAGGCTTAAACTACCATGCCACAGCACTGGTCCTACAAAATAAATCTTCTAAAATAACAAATGATAAAAATATTATGTTTTCAACTGGAGAGAGGAATGTCAAAATAGAAATGTTTTACAGTATATAAGACACATATATATAAGAAAGAAAATTTTTTAAATTCAGGAAAATAGCTGTTACAAAATTATATGTTTTCAATTAGTCACACTGAATGCCATCTTTCAGGAAGGTCCAGGATTATTCAGCAATGTGAAGGTTCATAAAACAGAGTCCTGCTGCTTACAAAGCAGGCATGTTCTCAGGAGGAAGAGAAGAGCCAAGGAATAACCTGAATATACTTAGGAAAACATATCTAATATACAAATATATCTGTAAAACCATTAGCAAAGATTGTAAATCAACTTAATGGTCTAAAGTCTTGCAGTTTTTTTGAGGATTCCAATTAGGAGCTGTGCCATCATTAAGAGTGAGAACAGGAAGTGGAGATAGTGACAGAAGGGAGAAAAAGTTTACACACATCATGGCCGGTGCCGTGGCTCACTAGGCTAATCCTCCGCCTGCGGCGCCAGCACCCCGGGGTTCTAGTCCTGGTTGGGGCACCGGATTCTGTCCTGGTTGCTCCTCTTCCAGTCCAGCTCTCTACTGTTGCCCGAGAGGGCAGTGGAGGATGGCCCAAGTGCTTGGGCCCCTGCACCAGCATGGGAGACCAGGAAGAAGTACCTGGCTCCTGGCTTTGGATCGGCGCAGTGCCCGCCATAGTGGCCATCAGGGGAATGAACCAACGGAAGGAAGACCTTTGTCTCTCTCTCTCACCGCTCTCACTGTCTAACTCTGCCTGGCCAAAAAAAAAAAAAAAAAAAAAAAAAAGTTGACACACATCTCTTAACTACAGAGAAAATTCAAAATTTCTCTGTAGTATATTGCTGGGTGGTGATGGTAACTTTAGCCTCTAGAACTTTCACAGCATTTATAAGAGTGAAAAATCAGTCTCTTGAACACTGCTGAGGAAGTTAAACTGTAGCCTACTTGGAAAAACTGAAAGACTAAAAGTTAACGGACAGAGCATAAACAGGAATAACAGTCCACAGTAGAACGAAATTTTTTCACTCAGTTCTCTACAAGCCAGCAGCAGCATGTTAACTTGGGAAACTCAGACGGCATATCCTGTGATTGGGCAGCACTCCACATTAAACTATCAGAATACATGCACTGTTGGGGAGAACAGGAATCTGAGGATTCTAAGTGTTATAGTCTCCTCAACTTCAATCCTTACGTACAGTTATAGCTAGATGACGTCTGTGAATAGCCGGTAGCAGCAAACATCTGACTGAAAGCTTAGTTGTTTTACAGCTTCCAGTCGGGGATGTTTACAACAACAGACTTTCTGAACAACAACTTAAAACCGGAAGAAGAGACACAAACGTCACCAGGCACCATCTTTAGCCAATGATTTATAGAACTTCTGGATCTCAATGATAAATATTACATCTTGAAACAAAAGTCATAAAGTTAATGTTACAAATTAACAAGAGAATAAATGGTCTACCAACTGTAATTTTTCCAAAATAATCCAAATACATAAGAAAATTTTCATTACAAACTTAACAAATGCACATTAAAGACAGTACCCTGCTATCCTACATGCTATCCTACATTTCTGATACATGCAAAAATGGGTTTTTCTCTCCTAAACCTAGAGTTTCAAAATAATAGGAACCAACATGGTACAGTGGGTAAAGCTGCCACTTGCAACACTGGCATCCATACAGGCATCGGTTCATGTCCTGGCTGCTCCACTTCCGATCCAGCTCCCTGCTAATGCACCTGGGAAGGCAGCACAACACGGCCCAAATGTTTAGGCCCCTGCACCCACATGGGAGATCTGGATGAAGCCCCTGGTACCCGGCTTCAGCTTAACCCAGTGCTGGCCCATGTGGCCATCTGGGGAGTGAACCAGCAGACAGAAGATCTTTCTCTGTCTCTCCCCTTCTCTCTGTAACTCTAACTTTCAAAATAAATAAGTAAATCTAACACACACACACACACACACACACACACACAACTCTACTGATTACAGTGACCATACACCTCGGTTTTCCCAGAATAGTTCTAATTTGTTGCCTTGATACTATTAGAAGTGATCTCTTTTACTAGTAAAAACATCCTACTGTAGAGAATAATGAATACAGTGGGTTTCAGTGGCAGAAGATTTATATTAAGATTCTATTTTTTCCTCTCCTATCCGGTTAGTTTAGGTTAGGAACACACCGTCCATGGAAATGAGCAAAGTGGATAATAAGAGGAATACACATTACATATATATATATATATATATATCTACACACACAATGTGTATATGGGGATACACATTGTATATCACGTTATACACATGATCTTTGTGTATAACGCAACATGTTTAAACTACTTTGCTTCTCATACCACTTTGCAGAAAGACAAAGATTAAGCGAAATACAGCAAATCACACTCCCTCAAAACCAAGATTACCTTTCATCTAAAACATATTAAATAATAATTTCTTTATAAAAATTATCTATTAAAACAACAAAAGTCTAAAACTAAGTTATAATGATTTCTTTACACAAGCACAAGCATGATTTCCAGGATAACTACTGAAAAAAGCCAACAGACACAATTTTGAAAGGCTCCTAATTTTTAAAATTTTTTTCCCACAAACAATAAAGGACTGCAGGGGCCAGCATTTTGGTGTAGCAGCTAAAGCTACAGCCTAAGATGCCAGGATCCCATATGGGTGTCAGTTCATGTCCTGCTGCTCCACTTCCTATCCAGATCCCTGGCATAGCAGTTCAGACACTGCCTGGTATACCTGCACACAATATTGGAATGCCTGAGTTTGAATTTCGGGTCTGCCCGATTCCTGTTCCTACTAACGCACACTCTCAGAGACAGCAGGAACTCACCTGTATGGGAGACTTTCTAGCTCCTGACTTCTGCTTGGCCCAGCCCTGGTTGTTGTGGGCATTTGGGGAGTGAATCAGCAGATGGGAGATTGATCCCTCTTTCCCTCTTTCTCACTCTCTTTCAAATAAAATTTTAAAAGAAGTGGGACCTTTAAGAAGTGATTAGGTCATGAGGGTTCTGCTCTCATGAATGGATTAATGCCACTACCTTGGGAGTTGGTTAGTTATTTCTGGAGTGAGTTTTGGGGGAAAAAAAAAAAAAAAAAAAAGAAGAATTTGGCTCCTCCCTCTTCCCCTGAGAGCATCTCTTGCCCTTCTGCCTTCCATCACGGACGCTGGGGCCTTGATTTTGGACTTCCCAGCCTCCAGAACTGTGAGAACAACTACTCAAAATGGAGTGATGGTATTACAGATTAAATGACTGCTGCACTTTGGGTAGAGGGTGAAGGTAAAACCACAGAAAGTACTAGTGGATAATTTAGTCTATCACTTCAGTATAATTATACATTTTCTCCATTATTATTCTTCACAAAGAAAGTGTAGCTTGGCTTCCTGTAACACGGGTGCCATACATTTATTTTTTTTTTTTTTTTTTTATTTTTATTTTTTTTGACAGGCAGAGTGGACAGTGAGAGAGAGAGACAGAGAGAAAGGTCTTCCTTTTGCCGTTGGTTCACCCTCCAATGGCCGCCGCGGCCGGCGCGCTGCGGCCGGCGCACCGCGCTGATCCGATGGCAGGAGCCAGGAGCCAGGTGCTTTTCCTGGTCTCCCATGGGGTGCAGGGCCCAAGCACCTGGGCCATCCTCCACTGCACTCCCTGGCCACAGCAGAGGGCTGGCCTGGAAGAGGGGCAACCGGGACAGAATCCGGCGCCCCGACCGGGACTAGAACCCGGTGTGCCGGCGCCGCTAGGCGGAGGATTAGCCTAGTGAGCCGCAGCGCCGGCCGGGTGCCATACATTTATATAAGACTGATTCATTAGGTATTCACTTGACATAGTCTGCATTGGGATGCTTCAAACCCAGAAAAGAAAGTAAGGTAGGGAAATACTTTGGATAAAATGGCCAAATCCTCCCCTTAAAACTATAGAATAATCAGAATGTTAGCCCCACAATTCTTGATCATAATCAAAACTGATAGTGACCTGAATGGGAGCCAGCACTCTAGATTCTTAAAATACTGCCCACTGAAAACCTTGGTCATAGGTATGGTAAAACTAGTGAACAACAACATAGCTAACTCTGAGTTTTTAAGACCACTCAAATCAGGATAAACGGAGTGAGTAGATCTGTGGTCTACGGCATTGAATAACTGAAAAGCAGAGTCTCTTTCTTCATGTAACTGGATGTGCATGGATTCCAACTTCTGTTTTAGAGTAGTAAACACCATGAATTGAACCCAGAACAAAACTGACAACCAATACAGATTCTAGTGTGCTTTACCTGATTCATGTGCCCTATAAGCCAACCCACAACATTTAAGTTCTACATAATTCTAGAGAATAGCACTAAAATGCAAACTACACTTCACCAAAGCCTAACTTTCAAAATCCACATCTGGAGGAAATCTGCCAACTTCTTCCTCAATATACAAACAAAAAGACATTTTGGCAAACAGGAATTTAAGAAAACTAATTGTGAACCTTAGTGACACTGAGAACATGTTTATAACCTTAAAGAGGTGTCCTGCCCTGAAGCATGCTTACTATTTTTGAACATTCAGAGCAATTTAATTTTCAGAAATTAACCCATGAGCTTTAAATATTCTTTTTTCAAGCCTGATAAAAAAAATCTACTTAACACTATACTTAAGAAAAAATTTTCTCTAGACAAGAGAGATAAATAACTCTCCTAATTTATCATTCACAAAGTCTGTTTATAGTTTCCTGGAAGAGTTCACAATTGTGCCTTCAACTCCTTGTACGTCCCCTTAATACTAACTATGTGGGCTGAAGTTAAGTCATTATTACTCTAAATCAGTTTCCCAGTCTAAAAAACAAAAGAATTCTACAACATGGAAGAAAGCTCTCAGAGAGAGGTTGTGAAGATTAAGTAAAACTAAAATTAAATTTATAAAACACATCTGAAATGTAAAGCATTGTATCTGCATGGATGTTAATCATGTTGGTAGGTCTGTACTCACATTTTCTTAAAAACTTTCCACCTGAAAGCCAGAGACTGCATCTGCATGACCTGACAATCATGAGATGTGGTCCATGTGACTAAAACGGGGTTCTTCAGAGTTACACTTGACATGGCATTAACTAAAATGGGCAAAAAAAGGTCAGTAATGCTAGAAGCCTTATTTGCACCTATTTGGCTAAGAGAACCCATTTATAGTGATGATATAACACACATACACAATACTTTTTATTTTTTCCTTACTTTTCAGTTAAGAAAATCTTAAAAATTTTAAGTTGTGAAAAATAAAAATTGGTTTTAATTATCTTTTTCACTTAATAACATAATTTAGAATTCCTTTAAGTTCCTCTAATGAATTTTTGTTAAGTATTATTTATTTATTTGAAAGGCCAAAAGAGAGATCTTCTATCCAGTGGTTCACTCTCCAAATGCCCTCAACAGCCAGGGCTGGGCCAGAATGAATTCAGAAACCCGGAACTCCATTTGGGTATCCTACTTGAGTGGCAGGATCCCAGCTACTTAAGCCATCACCTGTTGCCTCCCACACTGCATTTGTGCAGGAAGCTGAATTGGAAGTGGAGACTTGAACCCAGGTATCCAATAAGGGACACTGGCATCTTAACCGCTGCACCAAATGCCCACTCCACAGTGAATTTTAAATGCACTGGTATTTTTCCCTCAAAAAACCTTTTACTTAAGGAGTACAAACTTCATGTTTTTCATAAATACAACCTTAGGAATACATTGATTCTTCCCACCGTACCCACCCTCCCACACCTCTTCCTCCTCCATCTCCTCTTCCCAATCTTAATTTTTTACAAAGATCTATTTTCAATTAAATTTATACACATATGATTAACTCTATACTAAGAAAACAGTTTAACAAGTTATATGAAAAAAATTGTTTCTCAATAGTCAAGGGCTGTTCAGAGTCACTACATCTTGAAGTATTAATTTCACTTCTATAGATTACCTTTTAGGTGCTCTATTAGTTATCACAGACCAGGGAGACCATATAGTATTTGTCCTTTTGGGACTGGCTTATTTCACTAAGTATGATGTTTTCCAGATTCATCGATTTTGTTGCAAACATCAGGATTTTTTAGTATTATTACAGGATGTGTAGTATTCCTTGGTGCATATATCCATAATTTCTTTTTTCTCCAAAGATATTTATATTCATACTTGTAATAATAGCTTTTTCTCCCCAAAATAACCACTTAATTAATGAGTGCAAATTTCATAAGTAAAACTTTAGGAATTTAGTGAGTCCTCTTACGCCTAATCCCACCCCACCTCCTCTTCCTTCTCCCATTCCCAGTCCCATACTCCATTAAGAGAAAAAAAAACAAAAAAACAAAAAACAACCTGTTCCTCGATAGTCAGGACGAGGGCTATCCAAGTCATTGCTTCTCAAAGTGTCAATTTCAGTTCTACAGATTTCCTTTTAGGTGGTGCTCTATTAGTTATCACACATCAGTAAGAACATATGGTATTTGTCCCTTTAGGACTGACTTATTTCACTAAGTATGATGTTATCCAGATTCGTCTATTATGTTGCAAGTGACTGGATTTATTTATTTTGTTTACCACTGTGTAGTATTCCACAGAGTAGATATCCCATAATTTCTTTATCCAGTCTTCAGTTGACAGGCATTTGGGTAGATTCCATAATCTTAGCTATTGTGAACTGAGCTGCAATAAACACAGGGGTACAGATAACTCTTTCAAATGCTGATTTCATTTCCTTGGGTAAATTCCCAGGAGCGGATGGCTGAGTCATATGGTAGATCTATATTCAGATTTCGGAGTTATTGCCATACTGTCTTCCACAGTGGCTATACCAGTTTACATTCCCATCAACAGTGGATTAGGGTACCTTTTTCCTCACATCCTCACCAGCATTTGTTGTTTGTTGATTTCCGTATGAAAGCCATTCTAACTGTGGTGAGGTGAAACCTCATTGTGGTTTTGATTTACATTTCCTGACAGCTAGTGATCCTGAGCATTTTTTCATGTGTCTGTTGACCATTTGGATTTCCTCTTTTGAAAAATGCCTGTTTAAGTCCTTTGCACATTTCTCTGGATTGTTTGTTTTGTTGTTGTGGAATTTCTTTGTCTCTTTATATGTTCTGGTTATTAATCCTTTATTAGTTGCATAGTTTGTAAATAATTTCTCCCATTCTGTCAGTTGCCTCTTCACTTTGCTGAGTGTTCCTTTTCCATAATGCACTGGTATTAAAAAGCAATTTAAATAGTATTTCAAGAAAAAACTACTGTGTAAATTAAGTAATAACCAAACATACTTTATTTGTTCAAGTGAAAAACATCATTTCTTTTAATGTTACATAAGTTAAAATTACATTTAAATATCCCAAAATGCTTATTTTTCATTAACAAATAATGTCAAGAATTCTAAGGATAATATGAATAGGTTTCAAAGCAATTTGAATATTTTCATGTTACATTCACTTCAGTATCAACTTATTCAGTAATAATTTACAAATGAATATACAATGTTAAACTGGCCACTCTACAGCTAACCTGAAGGACAAATGGAAACATCAAGCAAAAATATATCAAATGCGTCCAACCTATGTGAAGACAAAGTTGAGACTTCTTTCTTCATTCTAGAATCCCACAGGGCCTCTACTATTTCCTGCCCCCACTTCTGCCTGGTAACACCTGACTTTGATGGCCCCTCAAGCAGGTGGCACAAACTCTGCAGCAGCTGCATAGCCCCTTATTGACAACAGACAGAGGTATACTCTGAAACAGGCTGCTCAAGTGGATATCCAGAGTTCACAGCATGTTCTTCCCTGTGCCCAACACACATTATATTACCACTAAGCACAGACTTTAACTCCAAATACTTTTAGTGGAGCCCTGAGCCAGGTCCAATCTGGCTATCCCAAAGGTGGAAAGCACCCACCAAAACCTCTCAACATACCTGGAACCTACCAGTGGTGTATCTTTTGGAACAAGTCCCTGTTTCAGGCACTGATCTGGGTATGAAAGTGGTGGGGGTTAGGGGATAAGCAACTGGCTGTAAGACTGTTGCAACAGTCCAGATCATGATGGCTTGCTACATGATACTGATGGACAATTACAAATAATGATGATGAAGTATGCAGAAGAAATTTACCTATAGGTGAAACTGCTCATGATTTCTTACAAGTCTGCAAAGGTGTTACATCTGTTGAGAAACCCCAAATGTTTTGTTTTTCAAAATTTTTTGCTAACTCTCTGATATCTGTTTGTCTATGATATTCTTCCTTCTTAAAAGCAAAGGGAAGGGCTAGCATGGTGGCATAGTAGGCTAAACCTCTGCCTGCAGCGCCAGCATCCCGTATGGACGCCAATTCATGTCCCAGCTCCTCCTCTTCCATTCCAGCAATCTGCTATGGCCTGGGAAAGCAAGAGATGATGGCACAAGTCCTTGGGAGACCCAGAAGAAGCTCCTGGCTCCTTCCTGGCTTTGGATCGGCCCAGCTCCAGCCATTGTGGCCATTTAGGGAGTGAACCAGTGGATGGAAGACCTTTCTCTCTCCCTCTCTGTCTGTAACTCTACCCCTCAGATAAACAAAATCTTAAAAAAAAAAAAAAAAAGGCAAAGGGAAATGGAAAGGGGCTGATATCTGCCTAGAGATTTGAGTTGAGCTGCTGCTTTGGACACCTTCATCCCTTACTGGAGTATCCTGATTCGAGTCCCTGCTCTGCTCTCAACTCCAGCTTCCTGCCAATCACATCTTGAGACACAGCAAGTGATGGCTCAAGTATAGCTGGATCCTTGCCACCCATGTGGGTCTCCCACTAGGCTGAGCTCCTAGTTCCTGGCATTAGCCTGCCCCAGCCTGGGCTTCTTAGGAAGTGAACCAGCAGACAGCAGAAATCTCTATGTCTCTCTTTTAAGTAAAGTCAATCAAAAAATTTTGAAAGCAGAGGAAAGTATAAAAATTTTAGAGAAAGATCTCAGATAATAAGATTCTAGCTCATTTAAGTCTTCTTGTGAAGCATTCAAGTCCCAAAGGTGAAAACAACAACTGCCTGCTAATTAATGGAAGGAAGTAATACAAGGGGTTAGAAAATTTTGAAATTAAAGCCTGGAAAAGGTCAGTGACATAAAGGAAAAAAAGTGTGAGTATGGCTTCCCTAAAAGTTTCAAAAGAAAGACTGGTGTACCAAGTAGCTATATGATGGAATGATTAAACCATAACAAAATTAAGATTATCCTAATCATATTCCAAACAAATCTCACAAATATGAAACCACAAATGCTGAAGACTGGGAATCAGAACTATACATACCTGTCTGAAACAGGGAACTGAAAAGGGTACTCAAACAGCAGTCAATTCTAGGCAACACGACTGTGTGGAAGCTTTGAAATCCAAGTCGTCAATCAGAATGCTTTGGAGAAACTTGTATATTTTCTAGTTAAAAAAAAAAAAAGCCTTCAATAAACAAAATAGCACCATTCCTGGTTCAGAAAAACATCAGTACTTCCATAAGCACAGAATCACAAGGAAAACAACATATTTGGCAAAGACAGGCATTCAAATATTTTGGAATAACTGCAAGCATAGTAGCCAAGCCCTCTCACATGCATCCTCAATACTACAACTCTTAATAACTTTAACTCCAAACCTGGAGCACTGATCCTTTAAATTATTGGTTTCAAACGATCTTGTCATTGTCTACTCCCAAGAAGGAAGCATTAGATAATAACTGAGAACTAGAGCTTTACATTCTGACAAAAGTGGGACAAACATTTAACTTTTTGACTATGGGAAAGTGATCTTACTTTTCAATGGCTTCTTTCACATCTGTAAAACGACAATTTAAAATACCTATCCTGGGGCCAGCATTGTGGAGCAGTGAATTTAGCTGCCACTTGCTATGTCTGCATCCCATATCAGAGCACTGGGTTGAGTCCCAGCTGCTCTGCTTCTGCTCCAGCTCTCTGGTAATGCACCTGGAAAGGCAGTGGAATATGGCTCAAGTTCTTGGGCCCCTGCTATGTTTGTAGGAGACCAGGATGGTGTTCCTGGCTACTGGTTTGGCCTGGCCCAGCCCCAGCCCCAGCCACTGTGGCCATTTGTGGACTGAACCAGAGAATGGAAGATACTCATATTTCTCTTTCTTTCTCTCCCCTTCCCTCCCTTACTCCCTCCCTCTGCCTTTCAAATAAATAAAAAAGTAAACCTTAAAAAATAAATACATATCATGTAGGGTTATTGTGAGGACTGGAAAATAAAATGTACTGTCCATCAAATGCTGAGCTCAGGGGCTGGCATTGTAATTCAGTGGGTTAAACCATGTGCAATGCAGACATCCCATATGGGTGCCAATTTGAGTCCAATCCACCTCCCTGCTAGTATACCTGAGAAAACAGAAGACTGGTCCAAATACTTAGACACCTGCCACACACATGAGAGATCCCAGATGGAGTTCCTGGCTTCAGCCTAGCTCAGCCCTGGCTGTTGTGGCCATTTGGGCAGTGAACCAGCAGATAGAAGATTGACCTACCCCCCCCCCCTTTCTCTTTGTCTCCCTCTCTCTCTCCATCCCCCTCCCTCCCTTTTCTCCTTCCCTAACTCCAACTGCCTTTCAAATAAATAATCTTTTTTTTTTTTAGAAAAATGCTGATTTTAGTGGCAGACACACAGCTAACATGAGGACTCCTTACTTCCCCTTAACAACTTTGTTCATGCAACTTGTACATTTTCAATTCCTCATATCTACTTTTATAAATACTGTTTATCCTTCAAGACCCAATCCAAATGCCAAATTTTCCATGGAAAATTCACTACTAAATGCAGCCACTTAAAATGTGCATGACAGAGACGCATCATTGAGAATAGTTAATGTGCATAAAGTGCTCACTATGCTTGAGGCAATGTTCTAAGTGCTTACATATATGAACTCATTTAATTCTACAATAACACTATCAGGTATGTACCAGTATTTTCCTCTTTTTGTACATCAAGAAAATGAGACAGAAAGCAATGTATCCAGTCACAGCAACTGATAAACAGGACTATAAGTCCAGGAGCTGGCTCCAGGATCTGTTCCCATACCTGTGCCATGCTGTGAACCGAGAAGGATGATTAGTTACTGCAACAAGATGCGCAGGGAACTGACAGTTTTATGCCTAGTTCAGCTGAAGAGGTTTACTATACAGGCTAAAATCAGTCACTCTGGAGAACTTATTCACATTTTCATAGAAAATACTTTAATAGTTTGGTTTTATTATACTTCCAGCTACTCATTTCTGTTTAACTTTACTTCTGGCTCACTTCTTCTTAACGCCTAAGAGGTAGTTAATGGAAATGGAGAGTTTCATACTCATACAACCCAAGAGAAAGATAATACCAGGTCACCAACCACATTAGACTGCCAAAACTGGCTGCCATCTAACACTCCATGCAAATATAATGGAGTCGTCAGGAATCACCTAATATTCTCTACAATGTCTATCAAATTTGCGGTTTTGATTTTGTATAAGCACACACACACGTGTGAGAAAGACATTCTTTGGTAGATAAAAGGTATTATTCTTTAAACAATGATAGGCTCAGGGGTATGGAAATGAGTCTTAGAAAATACAAATATGGACATTCTTTGTATGGGAGACAAAAAGTTAGTATCTTTCCTTTTTAATCAAACTTTGCAGCACAAAATCAAAAGCAAGAATAAAACATACCTGCCCAAGGGATAATGTTTGGGTTTTATCGAAAATTACAATCTCTTGAAAGAAAAAGGCTCAAAAGCAAACTACTGTTTCTCCTTAATTATAGCAGTGCTACTTTATCTCATGCATTTTTAGTGCCTTCTTTTAAAATTCAGAACATGTTATAACATCAACAATAAGCTTCATGTGCTAGTATTCTTAGGATTGGCCACAATCCCAAAATAAAAATAAAAAATTAGTCAAAGTGAAACACATGTCAAAATTAATAAATGAAGATTGTTGCTTCTCAGTTTTCTTTAATAATTTTTTAAAAATTAAGCATTATTAATAAAAATTGCATCACTTGAGAGGGGGAATATATATATTCAACATCAAGTACTCTTTAAACACTTTTTTTGTTTTCATTTACTGGAGAGAGACAGACAAAGGAAGAGAGGAGTCTTCTACCCCCTGGTTCACCCCTCAAACACCAGCAACAGAGCCTGAATCTCCCACTTGTTTGGCAGGAACCGAAATACATCAGCCATTAACTGATGCCTCCCAGAGTACGCATTAGCAGAAAGCTGGAATTGGAAATTTAAGTCGGGACTTGAGCCCAGGCACTGTGATATGGGATACAAGAGTCACAAGTGGTGTCTTTTAACTGTCAAATACATGCGCCAACTCTTCTTACATTAAACTTGCAGACATGCTGCTGTCACAGTAACTGACAAGACTGGTCTTACAGGTCAGATACAGATTAACCCTGACTACAGCCTTCAAACTGACTTATGTTTAGCCCAGAACTATGGATGGGAGTAGGGAGAAAAAAAAAGGTACAGGAAAAGTGAAACAATTTCAGCAATATAATGCATACTAAACTGAAAGGAAGGCCCATGCACATCCAACTCTACAGGTAAACAGATTCTAAACTAAAAGATACACAACACACACACCGATTATGTACTCCCACAACATACTACTCCTGCCTTCATCAAGACATATAACTTACATGGCAACTGTTTATTTAGGTGCCTGTTTCCACACTAAGTGAAGGACTGCCTGCTCACCGCAATAGCCTCATTCCAAGGATAAGTATAAAACAGCATAGGTACAAAACAGAGAGAGCAACAGAGAAGAATGCAGCAGATACAAAGCAAGCTGATGTCACAGCTCTTTCACTGCTTAACTATCTTGCCTCAACTCCCTCCTATTCTACAACCAGGAGCATAATAAAAACCAGATTTATTTTACTTTCTAATGTTCATATAATGTGAGCCACTAAACCTCTTTAGTTCTAAGTTTTCTTTTCTATAAAAGAAGGAATTAAGACTAACTTTCAAAGTTCATTCAGCTCAATAATTTCATGATTCTCTAATGGCATCAAATTCCAGAATAAACATTTGTTAACATTTACTCAATGTCTCTCTGTGGCTAATAATTATGATCATATCTGAAACCAAAGGTCTACTTTCCACTGCCACACTAGTCAACTACTCTGTTGACTTATAAAAGGAAAAGAAAACCACAAAACAATATTTTTGAAAACACATCCAAGTGTGTACAAATGTGAAAGCTAGAAAATAGTATTTGCCCCAATTACCCAGGGTGGCTTTGCTAAAGTCTTGCAGGAAATTTTCTACCAGAAAAGTAAGTTTTTTTTTTTTGTTTTTTTTTTTTTTTTTTTGTTTTTTAAGATTTATCTATTCATTTGAAAGTCATAGTTACACAGAGAGAGGAGAGGGAGGTAGGTAGGTAGGTAGGTAGAGAGAGGTCTTCCATTGGCTGCTTCACTTCCCAACTGGCTGCAATGGCCACAGCTGCGCTGATCCGAAGCCAGGAGCCAGGAGCTTCTGCCAGATCTCCCGCACAGGTGCAGGGGCCAAGGACCTGGGCCATCTTCTACTGCTTTCCCATGCCATAGTAGAGAGCTGGATTCAAAGTGGAGGAGCTGGGACTCGAACTGGCGCTGAAATGGGATGCTGGCACTGCAGGTGGTGGCTTTACCCACTACACTACAGTGTTGGCCCCAGTAAGTTGTTTAATGTTTCTTGAGCAACCAGAAATCCAAGACACTAAATTATACAGCTTGTTGATGTCTCGCAGCTAGGTTCGTATTTCTTAAAGTAGATGGTAGCATTTCCATCTAACAGTTCTGTCAATTCTTAACTCCCTCCCCCAGAGCTTCCCTGTGCTTAGATTAAAATCCAATCTCCTTTTTGTTCCACAGAAGACCCTGCACTAGTTGGGTCCCTCCTTTCTCCACTACCCTCAACCAGCATATCCAGGATTCTCTCAGTTCTTCCAACTGGTCACATGTTTCCCATGCTGGAGGCTTTGCCTTGTCTAGTCTCTCTGCCAGAATAGTTTCTACACAGAAATTCATATGCATGGTTCCTTAAAATTGTTCTGAGAGGCTTGGCAGTGTGGCACAGAGTTAGCTTAAGCAGCTACTTGAAACACCAGCATCCCATATGAGCACCAATTCAAGTCCCTGCAATTCCACTTCCAATCCAGCTCCTTGCTAATGCACCTGGAAAGCAGGGGAAGTGCCTGGGGCCCTGCCACCCACATAGGAGACCTGAATGGAGCTCTGGGCTCCTGGATTCGGCCCTGGCTGTTGTGGCCATTTGGGGAGTGAACCAATGGAAGGAAGTTCTCTGTCTCTCCCTCTCTCTCATTCTGCTTTTCAAAGAAACAATTTTTTTAAGTGCTCATAAAAAAAAAATCCTAAGGTTTCTACTCAAATGTCACCTCCTCAAGGAAGTGTTCTCCTACCCACTTTGAAGTAGGCTCCCCATCTTAATTTATCACACCTCTTCTTTGATTTTCTTTATACTTATTACAACCTGAAACTAGTTTACTCCTGTACTCATTTATTGTCTGGCTCTCCTGTGACAATGTGGAAGACAGAAGATCTATGAGTGTAGGAACCTTGCCCATGTTTTTCACTACTGTAATCCAGAATCTGGAATCATGCCTGGCACACAGTGCTAAACAGTTGTTGAAGCAATATAGTAATGGGAGCTACACTTATTTCACAGCACTGTTTCAGGCTCTTCATACAGCATATCACATGTGGTTTCACAGTGGCTCCCTGAAATGGTTATTTGTCCATTTTACTGATACGGAACTAGGACTCAAAAATGATCTAACTTGACTGAAAAAACAGCACAGCATAAAGGGGAAACCTAAAACATGAATTTATATCTTTTCTCCTAAGCTTTTTGTTTTTTTAAGGATTTATTTATTTAGGAGCCAGCACTGTGGTGTAGTAGGCCAAGCCTCCACCTGTGGTGCTGGCATCCCATGTGGGTGACGGTTCAAGTCCCAGCTGCTCCACTTCTGATCCAGCTTTCTGCTTATGTGCCTGGAAGGCAGCGGAGGATGGCCCAAGTGCTTGGGCTCCTGCACCCACTTGAAGAAGCTCCTGTCTCCTGGCTTGGGCCTGGCCCTGGCCCTGCCCCAGCCCATTGTAGCCATTGGGGAGTGAACCAGTGGATGGAAGATCTCTCTTTCTCTCCTCTCTCTGTATCTCTTTACTCTCAAATAAATAAATGATTTTTTAAAAAGCTCAAATTTTCTAGTAAAGGATTTCTACGTCAAGACTCTTCTAGAAAGCCCAACCTGTCTACCTATGCTAGAATTTGGAACTTGTCAACCACCACATCTACATGGACCAATTTCTTAAACCCATTGCCTCTCCCTCTATCTCCATAGCATCATGTGCATGCACACACACACACACACACACACACACACAAAACCACACACATTCTGGCGGTTCCGTTTCTTCGGAGAAACCCAACTGACACACAGATATACTCACATGTGACCCAAATAAAAAGGACTTGTGCCTTAAAACCTATGAAACATTGCTGAGAAAAAGAAGCCCTAAAAAAGTGTTCTATCATGTTATTGGGTCAGAAGACTCAGTATTTTTAAGGTATCAATTTTTCTCAAATTGATCTCTAGTTTCAATGTACTCCCAATCAAAATCAGTAGGCTCTGTTTAAAGAAATGATAAGCATTCTAAAATTTATAAGGAAAGGACATAAAGCAGTCAAAACAATTCTGGGAGGTGAATGGAAGGGGAGAGGGAGTGGGAAAGGGGAGGGTTGCAGGTGGGAGGGACATTATGGGGGGGAAGCCATTGTAATCCATAAGCTGTACTTTGGAAATTTATATTCATTAAATAACAGTTAAAAAAAAAACAACTCTGGAAAAGGAAAACAAAATTTGGGAACTAATATTACATGATTTCAACACTTATTAAAAAGCTTCAGTAATCAATAATGTAGCACGCAGGTGAAGATAAATAGATATCTCAATGGAACAGAATAGAGTCAAAAAACAGTCACACATACTACAGTACATTAAAAAGTTCATGGAAAAATGAAAAGATGAGTTTATTTTGAAGCAAAAAAATTCTGAAAGTCTTATTTTTCAGTAACATGTACTTTCCACCAACTTTTTGAAGACCCCTCATATCTAGACAACTGATTTTTTGTATTTTTAAACTGTATTTATTTATTTGAAAGGCAGAGTTAGAGAGATACAGATCTATATTCTGGTTCACACCCCAAATAGTCACAATGCCCAGTGGGAGGTCACTCCAAAGTCAGTTGCCTGGAACTCCATCCAGGTCTCCTACATAGATGGCAGGGACCCAAGCAATCTGCTTTCTCCCAAATGTGCATTAGCAGGAAGTCAGATAGGAAGCCAGGGCAGGACTCCAACCCAGGTATTCTATTATGGGTTGTAGGCATCCTAAGCAGCACCTTAACACACTGCACTACAACACTTGCCTCCTGGATGACTAAGATTATTGACAAAAATTTAAGGGCAATTCAATAGGAAAAAAATCATTTTTCAACAAGTGGAAAATGGTGCTATAATAATTTCCATATAGAAAGAAAATGTTTTGTGTATTTGGATTTTAATCACATCCAAAACTGAACTCAAATTAGAACACCTATAAAACCTAAAACTGTAAAACTTCTGGGAGAGGGGGCTAGTGCTAAGGTGTAGCAGGTAAAGCTGTAGCCTGCAGTGCTGGCATCCCATATAGAGGCTGGTTCAAGTCCCAGCTGCTCTACTTCCAATCCAGCTCTCTGCTATGGCCTGGGAAAGCAGTAGAAGATGCCCCGTGTTCTTGGGCCTTTGCACCCATGTGGGAGATCCAGAAGAAGCTCCTGGCTTCGGATCAGCCCAGCTCTGGCTGTTGCAGTTACTTGGGGGGTAAACCAGTGGATGGAAAACCTCTCTTTCTCTTTGCCTCTGTCTCTCTATAAACCTGCCTTTCAAATAAATAAAAAAAAATATATACTAAAAAAAGAAAGCTTCTGGGAGAAGTTATCCTGGATTAAGTTATCCTGGATTAAGTAAAAGTATTCTAAATGCTAAAAGCATAATCCATAAAGGAATAAACTAATAAATTATATATTATCAAAAATAAAACCTTTGTTCTTCAAGGCAGTACTAAGAGTATAGAGAGACAAAACAGACCAAGAAAAGATATCTGCAAATCATAAATCCAATAAATGACTTTTATCCAGAACATACAAAGTATCATCAAAACTGAATAGAAACCAATCCACCCGATTTTTAAAAGTGGGCAGAAGGGCCAGTGTTGTGGCATAGCAGGTAAAGCTGCCACCTGGGACACTGGCATCTCACATGAATGCCAGTTTCAATCCCAGCTGCTCTACTTCCAACCCAACTCCCTACCAATGGCCTGGGAAAAGCAGCAGAAGATGGCTCAAGTGTTTGGGCCCCTGCCACCCATGTGGGAGACCCGAATGAAGCTGCTGGCTCCTGCCTGTCTCAGTCCTGGCTGTTGTAGCCACTTGGGGAGTGAATCAGTGAATGGAAGATCTCTTTCTCTCTCTCTGTAATTTTTAAATAAATAAGTAAATATCTTTTAAATGTGAGAATATTTGAACAAACACTTTACAAAAGACAAAAGTATGGCAAATAAGCATGAGAACTGATTCTAAACATCACCAGTCATTAGGGAAAAATAAAAAACAAAATGAAAGACCTTTATGCACTAGTTAGTATGGTAATAATTAACAAGATGCACCATACCAGGTGTTAGCATAAGGCCGGTGGGAATGTAAAATGGTACAACCACTTTGGAAAAGTTTACTGGTTCCTTAAGATGTTAAATATATACCTACCATATGATTCAGCCATTCTACTCCTTGTATGTAGCTAAGAGAAATGAAAAGCATATGTCCATATAAATACATGTCCATAAAATGAAAAGCATATGTCTATATAAACACATGGATCTTCACTGATGCTTATCTTTTAAAGGCCAAAAACTAGAAACAACCCATATGTCTATCAACAGGTGGCTGTACATACAAACAGTGGTATACCCATACAATGGACTACTATTCAGCAATAAAAAAGAGCTTAACTACTGACACATGCCACAACATAGATGAGTCTCAAAATAAACATGGAGGTGAAAGAAGCCACACAGAAAGCACACATACTGTACTTTTTTAAAAAAAAATGGAAACTAGAATTCTGTTTTCTTTGCTTGTTACTTATGTATGCATGTATTTGCGTGTGCTTGATTTTTTTTTAATCTTTTTAAAGATTTATTTATTTATTTGAAAGGCAGAATTACAGAGAGGCAGAGGCACAGAAAGTCTTCCATCCACTGGTTCATTCCCCAGATGGCTGCAATGGCCGGAGCTGCGCCGATCCAAAGCCAGGAGCCAAGAGCTTCTTTTGGATCTCCCATGTGGGTGCAGGGGCCCAAGGACTTGGGCCATCTTCTACTGCTTTCCCAGGCCATAGCAGAGAGCTGGATCAGAAGCAGAGCAGCCACAACTTGAACCAGTGCCCATATAGGATGCTGGCATTGCAGGTGGCAGCTTTACCCACTATGCCACAGTGCCGGCCCCAGTACTGTACTTTTAAGACATGCAAACAAATATAAAGTGAAGAAGCAGAGATTGTGGTTGCCCAGAGAATGCCAAGAAGGAATATCAAGAAAACTAGAAAACTTTTGGGGGTGACAGATACATTCAGTCTGTATATGATGGCAGTTTCATGGGCATAGACTGGTCACAGTTACCAAATTGTACACTTTTCAGTATGTGTAGCTTACTGTACAAAAATTATGTTAATAAAGCTATTTAAAGAAAAAAAGATTTGCCAGAAGTGTTGGGAGTTAGGATTCTCTTTGATAGTTTGATAAAAACTAGGGGCCAGAACAATGGATATTTACATAAAATTTTACAGGTAGTAATTTCAAAGGTTTCAAAACTCCCCTGAATACTAGCCACATTTTCTTTAGCTTCTCAGGGTGAGGAAAAAAACTCCTTGCAGAATTCCATTCTACACTTTCTGTCTACAATCCCACACAGAGTGAGGCCCTTATACAGATAATGGCAATGGGAAATTTGAATGCGGGATGCCAGTGTTGGTATAACAGGCAGTAGCTTAACCTGCTACACCACAATGCTGGCCCCTAAATATTTGTTTTCAAAATGGTGGTCTGAATGAGGGTATAGAAAACATGCTTATAGGATCTACAGAAGAGATTGTGACAATGAGGAGCTGTATCACAGACCAAGATTTATATCATAATGACCAATTCAACCTGGAGGTAAGCTATAGGCCAAAAATGATCCTCAACTCCAACGACTGTTTCATAAAACACATTCTCCTCTTCCTCAACTTCAAAGGCATCCCACCAGGATGGGAAGCTCCTTGAGGATAATGTCTAAGTTTTATCTATCTTTGTATAGTACATATGTGTCTGTATCACTGTTTGTGCAATACTACATGATGGTTAAGAAAGACTCCAAAGTTATGGTACCTTACAACAAAGTGTTTATTTTACTTTGTATGTCTATCATGAATCAGTTTCAGTTCTGCTTCATAATTCTGCAACCAGTTCTAGCTAAGGCATTCAGGTTCCACAAAATGAAGGGCAAGGGCCACTGGCAGAACTACAAGATGGAAAACTTCTGTTCCAACATGGGATATGGTGGTTCTCAAACATTTTACTGGTCAAGAAATGCCCACTGGCAGAATGTGATGAAAACAGAGTCGGAAATACAAACCTACTACAGACAGGATCCTGATAGAGGAAACAAAAACTTCTGAACAATAAATCTATCACAGTTCCTTCCCATAAAAAGTGCTGAGTATTTGGTAGTAATTGTATATATGTTTTATATATATATATATATATATATATATATAAAATTATACGCCAGGTCATAAATACCAGAAGGATAGAGACTATCATCTTTCTTGCTCTCTGATACACCAACACCACACACAGTGCCTACCATGTTGAAATGGAAACACTAAATGAATGAACAGTGATGAAATGAGTATGGGATCTGTAATCAAAAGTCTTGCAACAAAGTACTACATCTGTCAAGTCATGATTTGTTGGAAAGTTTTTTTTCCATTCTGATTCTCAAATAGTTGTTGTAAAAGATGTGACAGTACCATGAGAACTGCTATTTTATACAGATGTTAGCTGATATCTAGACAGTCAGATGGGATGAAATCTAAAAAAGATAAATTCACTTAAACTTTTATACTAATGCAACACATAACATCTTGGATTTACTTTCAAAGCATCAACTGTCAAGTAAAGAATGAGAGAGATTAGATTCAAAGCAGTTCACATGAAAAAGAGACAGGGTTTTAGTTGACCATAAACTCAGTATGATCAAAGAGTAATGTGGCTGCCAAAAAAGTAATGCAAATTTCCAGCACCCCAACTGGGACTAGAACCCAGTGTAGCTGGCACTGCAGGCGGAGGATTAGCCTAGTGAGCTGCGGCACCGGCCAGTATCTGGGTTTGATTCTCAACTCTATTTCCTAACTCCAGCTTCCTATCAATGCAGACCCTGGAAGGCAACAGGCGATGGCTCAAATAACGGTTCCTGCTACCCAGCTGGGAGACCTGAATTGCAATCAGCTCAGGCTTTTGGCCCAGCCTAGCCCTGGCTCTGGCCCTCAACTCACCAAGGCTGTTTCAGGCAGGTGGGAGCTCTCTGTCTCTGCCTCTCAAATGATGATGATGATGATGATGAATGATTCCTTGCTAATGTCTTATTTTGTTTTTTTTTTTTTTTACACTATTCAAATTCTAGCACTTTTCCAGTCTCATTCTGAGCTTCCAAATTCCCATACAGTCTCCTTAGTCTAGACTCTGCAGCAAGTCATTAGTGTAGAAAAATAAGTGTCTGATCCCGACTATCTTTCTGGCATTTATCTTTATATCCCAGTCACCCATTTTCAACTTACTGACTGCTAGCCTAAACAATGAAAATTACTTGCTAAAATTCCTTCAATGAAATATTTTTAGAAAATTACCCAGCCAGCTTTTCATTATATTTCAATTGTTAACTGAGAGCACATGAGTGCAAAAGTTAAACTAGGCTATAAGGACAAAATATTATTTGCTATAGTAAGAAATGAATACTTTGAAAGACAAATTTTTTCTGATAAGTTCTTCTTTGTATCTTAAATGTGAATATGTAACAGAATTTCATAGTACATAGTTCTTGATACAAATTACTAATGCCTTGCCTACTTCTCTTACTGCAAGTATATATGTAGAAAAATGGGCTTAAAAACAGCTTCACAAATTAAAAAAAAAATAATTCTGCATGTGCCTTTCTGAAATAAAACAAATTTAGATGTTTAAAGATCTATTTTTCCAAGTTAAAAAAATACAGTGTGAAAATGAAGAAAAAAATAAAGCTGAACACTTATCTTCTAAGGAATACCAAAGTTTAGGACTTATTACAGGCTAAGACTAAAGAGCTTGTCATTGGATTTATATTCTCTGTTTCTCTCCCTCTTCTCTTGGGGAACTACCAAGAAATGCAGGTCACAGGAACACAATGCTAAGCCACAGATATCAGGAGAACTTAAGTTTTGTTTTGTTTTGAAGATTTTTCATTTTATTTGAAAGACAAGAGTTACAGAGAGAGGTAGAGACAGAGACAGAGAGAGGTCTTCCATCTGCTGGTTCACTCCTCAAATGGCCGCAATGGCTGGAGCTGAGTCAGGAGCCAGAAGCTTCTTCTGGGTCTCCCACATGGGTGCAGGGACCCACGGAATTGGGCCATCCTCCACTGCTTTCCCAGGCCATAAGCAGGGAGCTGGACTGGAAGTGGAACAGCCAGGCTTAAGTTTTAAGTCTCGCACATCAGTGAATCAGTCAATCCACCCAACAAGAATGCAATTTACACTTTGAATGTGCTGAAACAGTTATCAGTTTAAAGACAGCAACCCAATAGTTCCCCCTCTGTTAACCTTGAGGGGATACATGTTCCAGTACCCTACAGTGGATGCCAGAATCACCAATTGTACTGAATCCTGTAACTCTGCTTTTTCCTATACCTGCATACTTATGATAAAGTTTAATTTATAACTTAGGCACAATAAGGGATTACTAACAACTAATGATAAAATAGAACAATTATAGCAGTATACTATAATAAAAGTTATGAAAATTTGGTCTCAAAAGTTTTTTGAGATGTATTTATTTATTTGAAAGGTAGAGTTACAGACAGCGAGGGGGATACAGAGAGAGAGAACTTCCATCTGCTGGTTCACTCCCCAAATGGCCACAACAAGGGCTAGGCTGGGCGTGGCTGGGCAGAAGCCAAGAGCCAGGAGCTTCTTGCAGGTCAACCACATGGGTGCAGTGGGCCAAGCACTTGGGCCATCCTCTGCTGCTTTCCCAGGTGCATTAGTAGGGAACTGGATCAGAAGTAAAGCAACCAGTACACAAACTGGCACCCATGTGGGAAGCTGGCTTTGCAGGTGGGCACTTTACCTGCTATGCCACGATGCTGCCTCTCAAAATCTTGTTGTACTTATTGTCACCATTCTTGTGACAATGTGAGATGAGACAAGGGACACATGAGATAAAGTAAGATGACTGACTTAGGTATGTATGTTAGGCTACTACTTACAGATTACTTGAACACAAACACTTTAATATCATGACTGTAGCTCTGATTAAAAAGATGGTTACTGAGTCACTGAGGGGCAGGCAGCATACAGAGGTGAATACTAGACAAAGGGAAGAGTCACATCCTGAGAGGGATGGAGGACAGTGGGAGATGTCATCACACTACTTAGAATAGAGTGCAATTTCAAGCTTGTGAACTGTTTATTTCTGGAACTCTCCATTTTATATTTCTATACCACACTTGACCATAACTGAAACTGCAGAAAGTAAAACCACGGATGTTGTCTCTTTTGAATCAGATACTCATGCATTAAAGCTATTACCTTTAAAAGATGGAAATGATGGGACCCCTTGTGGCAACTTAACTGCTATGCCAAATGCTTGCCCCATCTAACATTTTTCAAGTCTTTAACAAGCATAAAGTCATGTACATTCTTCACAACAGCAATGTTAAGGTAGTATTAATTCTCTTCATTTTAAGGTTGAGAAAATGGAGTTACAGAATGATTAAGAAACTTGTGCAATTTTTGGTAAAGCTGCTACTCATGATGTCCATATCCCATATCCCATACGGGTACTGGTTTGTGTTCCAATTGCTCCATTTCCAATCCAACTCCTTGCTGATGGCCGGGGGAAAAGCAGCAGAAAATGGCCCATGTGCTGGGCTCTTGCACCTGGATGACCCTCTGGCTTCCCCTTGGCTCAGCCCTGGTGCCTGTAGCCATTTGGGGAGTGAATCAGTGGATCAAAGATCTGCCTCACTCACTCATTCTCTCAAGCTCTCTCTCTCTCTCTCCTTCTCCCTTCTTCACTCCTCTCTCTTTCAAATAAATAAATAAATCTTAAAAACAAAAAGATGTCTAAGACCACACAGCTACTGACAGGCAGGAGAGTGATATGAATTCAGGCAGAACAGCTCAAAGGCACATTTTTTAACCTCTAAGGATGGATGCTGCAATGCTCTTCTTATGAGCCTTGACACTTGAATAATCATATATAAAGAAATATTTAAAGAAATAACCAAGACTATATAGAATTATTATTAAAATGCTTTCACAATTCACTTTTAGGATTAGATGACTAAATCCAAGGCACCACTTAAGCCACTGTAACTTAATCTAATCTTTCCATATAATATATCTTTTGACTTTATTATACTTCATGAGTACAATGTGGTACCATTTATATATTTAGCATAATGCCTGACACCATCGCTTAAAACGCTTTACACAGACTGCATCTGGAATGTTTTATTCACATGATTGTACATTCAAGTAATTTTACTACTTTTCAAATTCTTTTTTTTTTTTTTTTTTTTGACAGGCAGAGTGGACAGAGAGAGAGACAGAGAGAGAAAGGTCTTCCTTTTGCCGTTGGTTCACCCTCCAATGGCCGCCGCTGCAGCCGGCGCACCGCGCTGATCCTGGCAGGAGCCAGGAGCCAGGTGCTTTTCCTGGTCTCCCATGGGGTGCAGGGCCCAAGCACCTGGGCCATCCTCCACTGCACTCCCTGGCCATAGCAGAGAGCTGGCCTGGAAGAGGGGCAACTGGGACAGAATCCGGCGCCCCGACCGGGACTAGAACCCGGTGTGCCGGCGCCGCAAGGTGGAGGATTAGCCTATTGAGCCACGGCGCCGGCTCTACTTTTCAAATTCTAAATGCAATCATTCAACAGATATCTGAATACCGAATGAACACCAAGTAGTATGGATACAAAATAAACGACATGGTCTCTGCTCTCAGAAAAGGCCACACTTCCAAAACAATGTACTAAGTGTTTGAATGGAAATACGACAAAAGTTCCAAGGGAACATGGTGCTACCTAACTGATCTGAGAATGGTGGCAGTTCCATGTGCAAAGGTATGGAAATTTAAAAAGCACATTTTTTCCTCTGGGGAATAGTAAACAATTTGAGAAGGATTAGAATGGAGGGTTTATAAGGAAAGGAAGGGAAAGTGATAAGAGATGAAGAATGAAGCTGGAGCTAGATAAAGTCTTATCAGTCATAATAATAATGATAAAAACCATGGCAAGGATTTAAGCAGGGGAGTGGTAAGATCAAATATGCTAACAACAGTGGTTACCACACTTTTTAAACAAAAGAACCCTGCTCTAAAATGAAATCTCATGCACACTTAAAGTAAAACTACAGCGTTGACATTGAACCTGTTTGACCCACAGAACACTGGTTCAAAATCACTGCTTTACAAAGAAAAAGTAATACAGCCACACAAATGTTTTACTCACTACATTATGCCTCTCCTCACATGATTCTAACTTCTCATGTACAAGGATTCATTCCAGCACTTTTCATCAATTACAGTACACAGAACTAAGCATACAGAACTAGGCTTTTGGGGCCAGCGCTGTGGCACAATGGGTTAAAGCCCTGCCCTCGGCACCAGCATCCTGTATGGGCGTCGGTTCTCCGCTACTCCACTTCCAATCCAGCTGCCTGCTTAAATGTGCCTGGGAAAGCAGCAGAGGATGGCCCAAGTCCTTGGGACCCTGCACCCAGGTGGGAAACCCGGAAGAAGTTCCTGGGTCCTGATCCGCGAAGCTTCAGCTGTTGCGGCCATCTGGAGAGTGAACCAACTTTCTCTCTGTATCTACCTCCCTCTTTAACTCTTTCAAATAAAATAAATCTTTTAAAAACTAGGTTTTTAAAATGAGTAACAAAATGTGTAACATTTTTTATCATTATCAGTTTTTTTTTTTCAAGTGAGTTAAAATTATAATTTGAGCTACTACATTTTCTAGCCTAAAAGTCAAGATTCACAGTAAGACAAATATTAGTGTATTTAGGCCACAGAATATTCAAGCCTGGTATAGTGCTGAAAGACAGAGAATATGATTTTAATTAATTAGTACTGATTTCTTCTCAAGATTGGTTAACTTGAATGTTCTTAACAATGTCTTTGTGCCTAAAAATCCTTTCCACCTAGCTTTAGCTACCTATAGTTCGCCTACCTTCTAAAATCTGGAACTCTAAATGTGATCACTAAAAATGACCTCCAGTGTGAAAGCTGCTTCAGATCTTCCTTATATCCATATAATATGTTCCCAGCAGCCACCATGGAAAACTCTAAAGCTATACATACGCTCTCAAGGCAGTCCATTACTCTTCAAAGGGATAATTAAAAAGCAAGGTTATATAATCCCAGGAAAAAGGCAAATAATGACTACTTTAACATGCTTTCTATCTAAATATTACACTTTCTCTCTGCCTTTACTCTCCCCTTCTCCTGGTACCAATATTTGTCAAAAGAACTTTTAAAGTGTTATCTACTTTATATAAGTAATAGGTTGCAAACAAATGTTCAATGTTTAACACATATTAAGACCTAAAGAACAATCTAACAGTTATCATATCTTCTATCAGATAAAATGTGAGAAAACAACAACCCTACAGACACTCTATCAGATTAAAAGTTGCCTCATGGTATGTGGCTAAAGGCCAACTATTTACAATTTCCTTTCTTCCAAAAGGAGAAAGAATAGGATATAAATTAAATTCTTCAGTACATCATTTGACCAACATGTACAATATATTTAAAGAATACTTCAAAACTGACCCTTAATCAAAAACATAAATGTCATTGTAAAAAGAATACTATTTACACACAATATTGACTTAGTCTAACATTTAGTATTCAACACTTAATTTCTGGGCATACTACAGACTTCCAAATTTTAAAACACAGCAAAAGATTCTCCTATAAATTTATGTGGATCATAACTCCATATTATACTAAAAATAAATTATATCACATGCTCCAACTAAATTGGTTATTTTAGGCAACAGCTTAATAAATTACTCATTTTCACTTCTTTCAAACATAAAAGTCTGAGAACTACCATATAATCACTAAGAACAAAATGACTTTTCATTTAGAAAAGCTTGTTTATAAACTGAAATAAAAACATACTAAGCAGTGCCACATAAACACACAGTACGAAAAAAAAAAAACCTCAAGTGTAGAATAAAGGCAATCAAAACAGTCTCTAAACAAAATTTAACTAATTGTATATTCAATTAGAAGGTTTCAAAGTAAAATTTCTACTTTTTTTTTAAGATTTTATTTATTTGAAAATTAAAATTACAGAGAGAAACAGATCTTCCAACTGCTGGTTCACTCCTCACATGGCCACAATGGCCAGGGTTGCACCGGGCCAAAGCCAGGAGCCAGGAGCTTCTTCCAGATTTCCCACGTGGGTACAGGGGTCCAAGCACTTGGGCCATCTTCCGATGTTTTCCCAGACACATTAGCAGGAGCTGGGTCGGAAGTAGAACAGCAGGGACTTGATCTAGCAAACATATGGGATGCTGGCAATGCAGACAGTGGCTTAACTCGCTTTGCTACAGCACTGGCCCCAAAATTTCTACCTTCTGTTCATTTATGGGCAAATTTTTTAGGTCCTTTTAAAAAATATTCCACAGATATATATTTTTAAGGAGACTATACGTACTCTGTTGGCTTTAACAACACATCAAATAAAGTTAACTTAGGACAGACACTACTAATGGTTAGAAATATTAAATTATATAAACCATGCTTAACTATCCCCACCAAAATACTAAGTATATATAAATTATGTCACGATAAATTTATATTTGTCCATAGTTTGCAATAATCCTTCTGCTTAGGGTAAACTACAATTATATTCAATAACTGAAATTTAATGTCCCAGAGGGAACAGCTGGAAGAAAATAAAGACAGTTTTTACAAATGATTTTTCCACTGATGCTATACATAAGATGATCTCATACATAATACTGGTATAAAGGGGGTCTAGAAAATTTAAACATGTAATAGTGAACGAAAACTCTTCAGGGAGAAAAGACGAAAACAGAACCTAACAGGGTTACCAATGACTAAAACTGAGTACAGTCTTCTTATTTTAAAAAGTTTCTCACATTTTCATAGATTACAAGGTCTAAACTGTTAAATCACATACAGTGTACTTGTATTATCTAATGCTTAAGATGTCTAGCAAAGGGTGGGTGCTTAACCTTGCAGTTAAGACAACCATCAGAATACCTGGTTCTGGCTTGTGACTCCACTAATGCAGATCCTGGAAGGCAACAGCAAATAACTGGGTTCCTGCCACCCACATGGAAGACCTACAGTGCATTCTGGCACTCAGCTTCAGCCCAGGACCCTGTGTGCCTATAGGAAGTTCTCTATCTGCCTCTCAAATAAATAAAAATTTTAAAAAGAGAAGTCTAGCTAGTATTATTTTAAAATCTTAGTTTAAAAAAAGTATATGGAACTGCTGATTGCATTTTACAGAAAAGAACACTGGGAACAGAAAAATTAAGTGACATTTTAAAAGTGACACAGGATTAAATAATGCAGTTGAGATGATAAATCAACCTTAACTTCCAATTAAAATTTCTAATCAGTACCTCTATTCTCACACATCTTCATAAATAAAGTGTGCTTACTTTATTTCCATATCTTTTAAAATTTTTGAGTGCCCTCATTAATCATAAATTCAACATAAAGTACTTTTTAAAAAAAACCTCATCGTGCTCTGAAATTAGCAATCCTGTAAGACAGTCTCTTGGTATTTAAAAAAATAAAAACATTAAATATTACATCTTCTTGTGTCTTCATTGTTACTCACTGGTACAATTAAGGAACTAAGAGCCTACACTAAAAAAAAAAAAATCAATGGCATCATTCAAGCTGTTCTTTCAATTTTATAATATTCAATTATGCCAAGAGAAGCAAAACCAAGTGGGTTCTCAGCCTAAATTTAGCATTAATTTCTTGCTTTTTGTCTAATGTACGACAACAAATATTAAGCATACTAAACATCCCTTGAACATTCCTTTGTCCATATGCTTAGTTAGCTCTTCTTCAAATCTCTTCTTTTACAAGATTTCCCTCCAATGGGGGGGCTGGGAGGGGAGGGTGTTACTCTTACCCAAACAGCATGAACAGTATAAAGCAAACTAAGCTTGAGTAATTAACTTTAATTCAGTTTGTGGCCCCATCCTCCCTTACCTCCTTATCCCAACATAAAGTTGGAGGTAACCTCATAAGCAATTCTACTCATACTATAATGCAAGTTCCTATTCTTACATAACCAAAGCAAAATGGTTTCGGAATTAAACACCCCAAGAACTTCATCCAACATCTCCTATGACTCCAAATAAATGCAATGTACTAACACAAAGGGGTTGGGGGGAAGCACCTTTGAAAATTTGGGAGTAGTCATTTTATCAAAATAACAATTTTCACAAGTGACCCAAATAGATTACAGTTTAGGAAAATTAAGCCTTTAATTCTGAATAATTTGCACTTAAGAGAAAATTTCAAGGTTAACAGTTTTCACTGCTTGTAGACTTTAGACTCAATCTATTTGTTTTGATTTTGCTGTAGTCTGGGTATAACCACTTGTTGGCTTCTGCTGCAGGACCACCATCCTCGTGAGAATGTCTGACAACAAGGTGCTTTTGATACCTCAGTCACCAAAATACTTTGGATGGGGTTCCCAACAAACCTGACCAGAAAATTCTACCCAATGGAGAAAAGCATTTTAATTAGGTTTCAATGTACTCCTTAAATGGTAAATCATAAAACAGAAGACAATTTTGCCATTCAGGTAAAACATTAATAGGTGGCATATAAGTAGGACGCCACTGAATTTAATTTTGTCCCTACTTTTGGGAAAAGGGCAACTCAAGAAACATACTGAAAATCCTTACCTATAAAAAAAATCTGTTGTATGCCAACTAATTTTGTATGCCAACTAAATTGTTGTATGCCAACTGATTTTTCACAAATCAAACCATATTTCATAAGACCCATATAAAAGGATGAATTATCTGAAGGTGCCTTTTAGTGAATCCTTTTTGAAGAATTCTCAGATAACTAAGCACTAATTTGTTTTATAATCTTAAACTTTGTAAATACCAGCTTTCTTATAGTAGAGCACAGCTGCTTTCCTAAGCCAAAAAATTCACCCCAGCAATACTGCCCTCCTTCCATTTCTCCTCAAACAAGCTCTAAAAGTGTCACCCCCACCCCAAAACAGCTGTTCGTCTGTGATAGAATATACAAGCAATACCAGGAAAGTTGAAGCGTAAGTGATTTACTGTTCAGAACCCTTGATCTCCATGAACACATGACCTCCATGATGCCACCAAGGTCAACTACACCTACAGGAGGGGGGCATGCTGAGTAAGTCCTGATTCATCCATTTCTACAGCTTCCTTTAAAAGGAGAGAAGGAAAACAAACAAACATTTATTTACATGTTACAGGAAATAATGTTTATAAGTTATAAAAATTTAATACCCCAAATCAGGACAGTATACAAACATATGTCAGCAACGACTAGCAGAAGCCAGATTTAAAGGGAGCTCACAGCACAGGACCAGGTACAAAAGCAGCTGCTCGGAAAGAATTAAGAAATCCCAAACTAATCTTCCCTTACATCTCATACTGAAAACCTTCAGAAGGCTGGCTGCATGCCACAAGGACTCAATTTCAAAGTGAGGGCTTTCTGTGGCGAGAACTTCTTGAAAATGACAAATGACCAAAGTTCCCTAATCAAAGGAAAATGCTCCACATGTCAGAAATCCTTAAGGGTAAGGGGGTCCAAACCCAGAGCTGGTTCTCTCATCCTTAACCAGGCTCCTTGGGGCACTTCCTCGGCTGTCCCATGTCCTGCACCTATCACAAACCAGGAAGTTTCTTGGATGAGCTTTAAATTTCAAAACACATTATCCACTCAGTATAATCTGTTTATGCCAGACTTCTGCTCAAAACATCCCTATCAATTTGAAACCATTACATTGGAAATTTCCAAACAGCTTTCAAATAGGGGAAAAAAAAAAAAAGGGAGGAGGGTGAGCATTACAGGTCAGAGCTAGTGCCAGATCATTTCAAAGTGACTGAGTGACCGGTTGACTCCGCAACTAACGCCTGGCAAACGGTGGGGCATACACGCAGCGCGTTACGAAGCATGGAAAATTAAAGAGAAAAAGGTCCAGCAAAAGCACCGGCTATCCACAATCAACCAAGTCGTGGGCTGCTAAGTCTTCGCAGTCACTTCCAGGGACGCTCCCCACTGGTGGGTGGAACCGGGTCAACGCGATTCCTTAACCCGGGAAGTTCCAACGAAACTCCACTTTGATGGGCTCCAAAGCTTATTTCGAAAAGATGACTGCTCGGCCCGGCCAGTGCCTCGGCGTCCCCCTACTTTTTTTTTTTTTTTCCCACGGAACGCGCACCCTGGCACCTGAAACTGCTCGAACGTTCCCTGGTTTCGGGGCTTCAGAGAGCTGTGTTTGTTATTCAAGTCCACAGGGCAATTTAATGCAGCGGCGAGTGTGTGAAAGATTAACCTATTTTCGGAACTAACGACAATTCAAGCAGTTCGCTCCCTCCTAAGTAACTTTTTTTTTTTTTTTAAATCGTGCAGTACTAAAATAACCGTAAGCAACAAACACGAGCATTGGCATGGCAACGTGCGCGCAGCCTGCCCCGGGGTGGCCATCTCGGGTCCCCGTCCGGCCCGGCCCGACCCTCCCGGCCGCTCCTGCCCGGCTTCCCCCGAGTTCTGAGGTGAAAGCCGCCACTTTGCGCACGCCGCCTCGCTCCGCGGGCGGAGTTTCTCCCAACTGCCCGACAAACACGCCCCGCAGCTTTCCCGCCGGCTCCCCTCGCTCCGCGGCCGCCTCGAGGGGCCCACCTGCCTCGCGCCGCCAGTCCCCACGCGCGCGGCCACCGCCAACTCCGGGCCGACCCTGAGGGGCGGGGACGCCGAGCCCACCGCCCAGCGCCCGCCGCCGCCGCCCCCAGGACGCCCCCCAGAGGCCGTGGCCGCACGGCCTGTCAGCGCCCCCGGAAGGGGGTCGGGCGGAGCGCCCGCTGCCCTCGCCGCCCGCGCCGCACTCACCTGGCCCGGCTGCCGCCGAGGGGCCGGCCCGGGAGGGCCAGGGTCCGGCCGAGAGGCCAGCGGCCCGCCCTCCCCAGCCCCGCGCCCCGCCGGCGCGCGCCCGGAGCGGCTGGGGGAGGGGGTCGCGGGGACGCGCGAGCGCCGGGGCGAGGGGCGCGCGGGGGGCGGGGGCCGGAGGCGCGGCGGGAGCAGGGGCTCGACGGCGTCGGCGGAGAGCGAGCGGCCTCTCCGCCGCGTCCGACATGGCGCGGCAGCTCCCTCCGGTCTCTCTGCTCCCTCGCCTTTAGTTTGACCTTTCCCTCCAGTGTGTCTGAGGGAGAGCGGCCGTGCGCGCGCGAGTGCATGGCTCTGTGTGTATGTGCGCGCGCGCCCGCGGGGAAGGGGCCGGGTTCGCTCCCCGACGCCTGACGTCACTGCCATGGCAACGGCAGCCCCCGCCCTTCGCTTCCCGTTTCCTTTCCCCGCCCACTGTGCACGCTCCGGGGCCTCACGTGCTCACTCACACGCACGCACGCACGCTCGGAGAGCGCGCGCGCCCCGAGCGCTGCGGGCGTTGGGAGCCTCCTGCTCCCTCCCCTCTCTGCTCTGCCTCCCCAAATTCGGCCAATCCAATGAGGAGGAGCCGTGGGCGGGGTGGGCGGGGCGGGCGCGGCTGCTAGGGCGGCGTGAAAAATTTCCCAAGGCAGAGTGAAATCGCTTCCTGACGGACTGAGCATGCCCCATGGCGACAGCGGCGCGTAGGACGCAGAGTTTAGGGAGGCGGTCGGATAGTTGAGGGAGGGAAGCCCGGGTCCCATTTTAGGAGACGTGGGTCGGTCTGAGACTGGGACTGTGCCGTAGTCTGGCAGCCTGGGACTGGAATTGGGCCCCGCCTGTGTGACCGTGAGCACGGTGCTGGAAGCACTGGACGTCGCGAGTAAAATGGAGTTAGACCAGCCACGCTGGTTCTGAGGATCACGGGAGCGCGGAAGACGCTGATCACAGAGCCGTGTTTTACCAGCGGGAACAGAGGACTCGAAGAGAGTTAAACGCCTGGAGGGCAAGAAGTGGCGGAGACCCAGGCTAGAAGTGCAGTGCTCTCTGCCCATGCAGTCTTCCTCGGGCCGGAGAGAATAAAACAGTCCAGGAAGACCCCTGTGCCACCTTTGGGCCACGTCTTGGTCCCCATCCCGGTCCCCATCCCCACCGTTTAGAGCAATGGAGGCAAGGACCGGGCAGCGTCCTGCCGCTCTCGGAGGGCAGTGACTTAGTTCTGGATTTAACTGGCAGCAGGGTGGTGCTTGACTTAGTGGCCGTGGAGCCCTGAAATGTCGTCTAAAGTTTTGGTTAAAGTGGAAAGAAAGTAGGAGGCAGCTCCAGGTCCTCCCTGCACAATTTCTGAGCTGCTTACGGAGAGATCAGTTACCCAACATTTACCTTCTGTCCACCGAGCAGGCAGGCAAGCCCGCAGGGAGCCCGTGACCTCAGGGCTGTGCAGACAGGCACCTTAAGATTCATAGTGGTGATCTCATCATTCCTCAAACCGGCTCCGCGCCCTTTCCTGTAATTTAGCTCTTAATCACTGACTGCCTCCCAGTGTTTGTTGAATGTTGGTAATGCTAGCCAACTCTAGGTTTGCTGTTCACTTTTTAAAAAGTGTGTGTCTGTCTCCCTGTCTTTAAGTTCCACCCTAAACCTGATCTGGGTGAAGAATTTCACCCAGTTTTCAAACGTGCCCTGTGGTTTCCTGCTTTAGTCCTGGGAATTACTCACGTGACCCTCGCAAGTTCTTGCCGAAATGCATTCTCTTCCAAAAAGTTCTTGCTGGAACTGTTCAGTTGGAATGAATTGGTCCGTTTTCCAGAGCATTCGAATATACTCACCTTTGGACAGTGTTCCTAACAGGCTTTGTGTTTATGCACATGTCACCTACACAGACTTCCTCTGAACATCCATGCGCGGCTGTGGTATATCACTATCCATTCCTGTAAGGCTTGATGCATTTATCTTCCCCTTCAGACACTTCAATGATTAGGAACCATGTCTAGCTCTACTTTGCACTCCCAGGGTCTTCCTGAGTACCATACCACTCAACTAGCAACTGAATGGCTGAATGGGCTATTTGCCTATTCTATAATGTTCTTAGAGGCACACTTTACCTTGTTTATATTTCGGAACCACAGACTTTATGGGAAGCTAAGCATTCCCAATAAATCTTGGACTACTATAAAACACACCAGAAAATAAACGGTCCCACTCACACAATGAAAGAGTTTGGCAGCAGTGTGAGATGCTGAGTAGAGTGAGAAGTAGAAGTCCAGTGAGGAACAGCTGCTACAGACAGAGATTTTCAGATGTGGGGGATAAGATAGGAGGCAAATTGCTCCCAAGTAAGAGCAGGAAATTATGCAGAGAGGAATCTTGAAATCAGTGTTTACTTACTCTGAACTGGTAGCATTTGTCCCTTTGTCTAATTCCATAAAGCCCATGGTGTTCTGGTAACTACTACTTGCATTGTTCTCGCAATAGCTGGTTAACCCTTTACATGTGTGAGTCCTCACAAAATCTAATCTCAGTTCATATCAAGTTCTTGGCACTTCCATACGCCAGCAGCACAGCCCCAGAGCCACTCTCAGTTTACCCCTGTCTCCATGCTGTCAGTCTGAATCCCACAGTCTTCCTCCTATGGCAGCCACCGCCTGCTTCTCCAGTCTCTTGATCACCGCCTAGTGTGAACTTCCTAACTGGTCTTGCCTCACTTTGAGTTCATCCAGTCCAACTTCCCACACACCTCACACTCCAGAGACTCCTGAAAACTGAGAGGTGGAAAACTGAACATGTTTCCAACCTGCTTAAAAGTTTTCATGATGGCCGGCGCTGCGGCTCACTTGGCTAATCCTCTGCCTGCGGTGCCAGCTCTAGTCCCGGTTGGGACGCCAGATTCTGTCCCTGTTGCTCCTCTTCCAGTCCAGCTCTCTGCTGTGGCCCAGGAGTGCAGTGGAGGATGGCCCAAGTGCTTGGGCCCTGCACCTGCATGGGAGACCAGGATAAGTACCTGGCTCCTGGCTTCAGATTGGCACAGTGCACCGGCCGTAGCAGCCATTTGCGGGGTGAACTAACGGAAGGAAGGCCTTTCTCTCTCTCTCTCTCACTGTCTAACTCTGTAAAAAAAATAAAAATAAAAAGTCTTCATGATGATGAGGCTGGCACTGTGGTGTAGCGTGTAAGCTGTTGCCTGTGATATTGGCATCCCATGTGGGTGTCGGTTCAACTCCTGGCTGCTGCACTTCCCAATGTAGCTCCCTGCTGATGCATCTAGAAAAGCAGTGAAAGATGGTACAAGTATCTGGGCACCTGCCACCCATGTGGGAGACCTGGATCGAATTCCTGGCTCCTGAGATAGGCCTAGCCTAGCTCCTACTTTTGCAGCCATTTGGGGAGTGAACCAGTGGATGGAAGATTCTCTCTCTCTCTCCCCCCACCTCTCTCTCTCTCTCTCTCTCTCTCTGTAGCTCTTTCTTTTCTTTTAAGATTTATTTATTTATTTGAAAATCAGAGTTACACAGAGAAGGAGAGGCAGAGAGCAAGACAGATCTTCCATTTGTTAGTTCACTCCCAATTGGCCACAACGGCAGGAGCTGTGCTGATTTGAAGCCAGGAGCAAGGATCCAGGAGCTTCCTCCAGATCTTTCATGTGGGTGCAGGGGCCCAAGGACCTGGGCCATCTTCTACAGCTTTTCCAGGCCACAGCAGAGAGCTGGATTGGAAGTGGAGCAGCTGGGACTTGAACCAGCGCCCATATTGGATGCCAGCTCTGCATGCAGTGGCTTTACCTGCTATGCCACAGTGCCGGCCCCTGTAGCTCTTTCAAATAAATTTTTTTAAAAAAAGTCTTCGTGGTGATTCCTTGCTCATTCAGAAAATAGGCCAAATTTCATCAATAGCTTTTTATGCTCTGTCTTCAACCATTTTCTTCAGACACATCCTCCACTACTTTTGCAAGAGTTGTTTCCCTCTACCAATGTCGTAAATTTGCAACATTTTGTATATACCCTGTTATCTGTGCATATAGATTGACCGACCTAGAATTCTCTGCTCTGGCCCTCTCTATCAGGGTAACTGCATGGGCCACACTGTATACCTCTGACAGCTCTTCTTACTCTGTTTTGTAAATGTTGTTTGTATTTTACTTACTTTTTTTTAAGATTTATTTATTTGAAAGGCAGAGTTAGAGAGAGAGAGAGACACGGAGAGATCTTTCATCTGGTAATTTACTCCCCAAATGGCCACAACAGCCAAGGCTGGGCCAGGCCAAAACCAAGAGCCAGGAGCTTCATTTGGGTCTCCCACATGTGTGCAAGGGTACAAGTACTTGGGCCATCTTCTGCTGCTTTTCTAGGAGCTGGATCAGAAGTGGAGCAGCTGGGACTCCAACAGGCACCCATATGGGATGCTGGTGCCGGAGGCAGCTGCTTAACCCACCATGCCACAATGCCGGCCCCTGTTTATCTTTTCTTCTCCACTAGAAATTGAGCTACTTGAGGGCAGGGGCTTCAACCTTTCCTGTTCACGTATGTAACTCAAACACTGCCCGAGTTCCTGATAAGTACTCGACATTCAATAATTGTTTATTGAATGAATGAAATATTGTAAGCTGTATAAAGGAAAAGAGCTATTATATTTCTTTGATGCTTCACAAAGCAGTACTCAGCAGTGGGTATTTAAAATAGCAACAAAGAAATGAAAGAGTAGTAATGTGATGTTAGAAACCCACCAGGGACAAAGTGATACTTTCCATTAATTAACTC